GTAAAACCACAACATATTTCTTATTACCCACTGCATGTGGCCTTTTACAGCTAAAATGTTGAAATGTAGCTGTTATCATAAAATAAAATTGCAACGTAAACATGAATTCCTAACATCAATCCTTGCAAATGTTTCTCCTCTTACATTCCATACTTACTTCTCCAGGATCTGCCTGTGGAACCAGCACATCTTTCTGTCCCTCATTAATGCTGGCATGTTGCTGAGTAGCTATATGCCTGACTTCTTCACTGCTGTGAACCTGCTGCGAGGTGCTGCTGCTGGCTGTGCTGCTAAATATGTCGGTTAATTTGTTACATTTAGAGGCTTCAGCATCTAATGCCCGCAATATTTTTTCTCTTGCCCTCTCAGCCCCACCATTTTCTTTCCTTTTTTTTTTTTACTAGCGACCGGGTTTTGCATTGGTTTTTTCTATTGCCTTTGCCTCCTCTCCTCTCTGCTTCAGCTTCTTCTTCTCCTTGCCTGGCGGCCACTGCCAATGTAGCTGGCATCCAACTTAGAGGTGCAGTGCTGCCACCTAGAGTGCTGGAGCGTGAAAGAGCTCTGAGAGGGGAAAAACAGGTGTTGAAAGCATGCGTGGAGAGTGGTGGGCCGGCCCACCGACCGTCCTGGAGTACCGGCCGTTCTGTGATTCTCCAGAATCCACAGATGGCCAGTCCGCCCCTGGAATAAACTAGTTCTTGTAGGTAAAAAGAAAATGTGTACTCATGCAGTCAGGAGATGTAATTGTGTGAATGCTGAGTAAACATTTGACCAACTGTAGGTGGAGTCTGACTTGTTTGCAAAATGTGGGACTACCTACTACTTTATCGGATTAGCTGTGTGGCTATGCTAATGCTAGCCTGTTTGTAATCTAGGGGTTGTATGAACTAGTCGACTAGTCGACTTCCCTGCTCTGTAGTGACTTTTTATGCCTGTCATCGACTAGTCGCTGTCACGTAATAATGACCGACAAGATGCAGTCCTCGGAAAAGACAGCAGGTGACGAGCCCCTGCGCGTCGGGAGGTGATGCGCTGCTTCAGGTGTATGACGTCATCAACGCCTAGTCAAAGTCAACTCGATTTTCATTACTTGACTGTCGACTTTAAAAAAAATTAAGTCATGCAGCCTCTCTTGTAAACAGACAGAGTTTAGAGTGGACCATAGGTTTGACTGTTGATAAATGCTGTTTAACTGAATGTGAGCTATGTTTTAATGATTGTGGGTGGGGTTTGGTTGCTTGTGATTAATTGTGGGTAGGGTTTGACCGATCCCTCTATGTGTTATTTTAATTAGACCTTTTATGTGTGTCTCTCTTCAATTTCTTTGTCTCTCTTTCATCCTTACCATTTTCTCAATACGCTTGTTTTCACTATCCAAACTTCAGAGTCTCCACTTTAGCAGGCCAACCAAAAGGACCATTTTCAGGAACTAACAGAGTACTTGAACAGGGGTATGTTTGTGTGTGCATGTGTGGCTGGCCTACTTGGAAATGGTGCAGTCACTGAGTGGAACTTGTGGTTAACTCATACTGGCTGGTTGTAACTCATTAAGACATTACATCTGCACACGTTTGCCAAATAACCAGCATTTGTAAAATTTAATATTGAGTTACTGGTGACGCACAAGAAGAAGAAAGTATCATTTCTATAGCGCCTCTCAAGATAAAAATCACGAGGCGCTTCACAAAAACAAAAAATGTAAAAATATAAAAAAGCATTTAGAAAATGTTTAAAAATATATTTAAAATGAACAAAAAATAGGCAATTGTGATAAAAAAATGTTAAGAAAGAGAGAAAGTGAACAGGAAAGAGGGAAATCAGTGGATCCTGAGGAAGGTGGAATAGGTGGGGAGAGCAGAATAAAGAGAGAGGGGTTGAAGAAGGTCATACAAAAGCCATAAGTTCGTGAGCTCCAGATTTCCACAGAGCTAAATTAGCTACAATATCCTGATGGCCATAGACTTTATATAGATAGTCTGGTATAACAGTCATTTTGTTTTAGAGATTAGGGAGTTACTATAATTTATACTTTATTTTCATACTACTGTTATTACTGTGGCAAGGTGGAGTAACGAGGGCCCGGGCGGGATTCGATCCCCAGACTCCCGGGTGAGAGCCATGCACGCTTACCAGTCAGCCAAAGGGACATCCCCTTGGCCAACTAGCAGTCACATGATCAGTCGGGACACTGTGACAGGACGCTCACACTGCCACATTACTGTCTCTTATGCTGTGGCATGTCATATTGTGCTCATTTTATCTTATCTGCACAATGTTTTTCTACTTTTCTGATTTGGGCTAATAGATTGGAATAAAGAATACTTAAATTGGCTTGACATAAAAAGTAGACCCTGCAAATGCGTAAGCAAAGAAGTAGCGGTCGTTGCGGTGTCCATTCTTTAATGGATGTCATGGCGTGTTCCATTTACGGAAAATGTACAACTGCACATTAACACTGATTTTAGGTGCACCCTTACAAGTTTATCACCACAGCTGCTATATTGAACTTCGAAACTGGTTTAAAAAAAACATTCTCTGACTTAAGGGAGGTGTTCCAGTTCATTATTTCTACTCGGAAGTTGGAATTTCCAAGTATGGGGTAAACAAACAAACCGGGGAAAGCAACTAATCTCAAAACACAACTCACAGAGTCGCACTGGTAATATTATTTATAATCATAATTAAATAGATTATATTATTATTATTATTATTATAGATTAAATAAGTCATTGTTGAACATTATGACCCAAGTTCTATAATGTTTTCTTTATCTTTAGACAATTTATTCACAAAATTTTAGAAGTTACTCAATTTAAAAATAATTAAATATTTTGAGAACTACTGTAGCAGTGGCCAGATAGCTCGTTTTAGACGAGTACTACAACCCACGCTGTCGTGTCCCCCAAGCAGAGTTGGGTAGAGTACCCAAAAACTGTACTACACGAGTAGCACTAGTTCTTAAGTATATTTTTACTCAAGTAAAAATAAAAAGTAGCTTTCCAAAAAATACTCAAGTAGGAGTAAAAAGTATTTGATGAAAAGGCTTTTTGAGTACTGAGTAACATCCGATTTAATATTTTAAACATTTTTAATAAAAATTATGTCAGCAAGCAGACAAACATTAAGTTATAGACAGGTTATGGCGTTTTACAGATAAAAAAAGATATATATGAAATTATCAACATAGTTACAAGAGAAAAATTTTAGGCAGAAGAAACTTTTCCCATTCAATTTTTAACATACTATTAATATTATGTAATGTCTCTGTATATGTCTTTGAGTCTAGACCTTCACCGTGCTTTGTAATTTTTATCAATCTTGCTTGAGTGGCTTAACTTGAGATGTTTAGTTTATCATAACTGCCCTGTTTTGTTTGTATGCAATACAGTACTGCAAAACCCTGTTTTGCTTGTACTGATTTGTGAGAATTTGTGGTGTGTTTATAAATAATCTAATGTATGGTGGTTCAATTGTAGTTTGGCAAGATAGGGGCTCCCCCCACAAAGCTAAAAACAGCTCTGGTTTAACCATCATCACCAACGCACGGCAAGGAGAGTTTCAGTTTTACAATAAATTAATAATGAACACTTGGCAGTGGTAAATGCAAGCCAAAACTGCATACTGGTAGCCTGACAACCAAAACTAAATATAATTTGATCTAGTTTGCTAGGTCAGCATACTGTTCCTTTGAAACTACATTTTCTCTACTTTGGTGTTTAGTTTAAAACCAAGCCAGTGCTTTGCTAACCATCTGGTGGCTTATGAAGAAAACCACACTGAAGATGTTCAGAGTTCTAGTTTCCTGATAAGTGAAGCTTATACACCCCTATTCTTAAATCACCATTCAAAACCAATGGTTCTAATTGGTCTTTATGTTTTATTTAAAAAAAACTTATTAGAAATATATAAATCAAGGCCACACTTTCTGTCAAGATATCCCAATTCGATTAATTAACAAAGACTTACTGAAAACCGCTGGCGTATAGTATATTAGTCTGGGTGTTTTAGTTACAGTAGTTTCTTCGTTTAACATTCATTTTAAAGGTGTGTTTAATTTGTTATTCATTTGTGGATGTGTGTAAAACTATTATAATATATTTTGAGCTTCCTGTAGCCATGACATTTGCTGCTTTGTTAACATTGGCATTAACATTAACATAACATTAACAGAAACAACAAAAGGAGAAAATGTTTCTGGTGTCAGTTTCAATTCCCTTCTTTTATTTAATAGTTCTTGCAACACTTGTAATAACTTATTCTAAAAAAGTATTCCTTTATACAAAGTAGCATTCATCCTTTTCTAGTCAGGTACAGTGTGTATTTTAGCACTATCTCTTGTTCACACATAGTGAAAAGTCATTTAAAATTTGGGCTGGTGCTCTACAGAGCACATCAGCTTAGAATGTAGGGAAATGTGATCAGCTTGGCTGATCTCAGACTTTCACACTTGACTGCACATAGATGTTGCATAGGACTTTCAGCCACGGTAGTATAATAATTGGCCTGCACTAAAGTTAAACCTTCCAATTTGCTAAACAGGAGTCCCACAAGGTTAAACTCTGAGACAAATGCCTTTTTGCTGCATATCAATGACTTACATTGCAGAAGGGAGGATAATTGCAAAATGTATAATTTATGTAACCACTAAGACAGCTAAGAGGCAAATGATGAATGTCACAGTTGTTTTGAGAGCCTTTTTATTTTTTTTTACCAAAATGGTCTCTGTGTGTCACGTCCCTAATCAGAAGTGAATTTTAAAAGTAGATTATTTTAAATATTTGGATGCTTAGGCTTCTCATCCCAAATTTCAGAGAATCAGAGAGAATTTTATTGCCAGCACTCCAGCGAACCAGAGCATAGGAACTTGACTCCACAGAACAGCCTGACCAAGATTACACACACACATATAGACAGGACAGATACAGGCAGACCATGAGAGCAGCCATAACAGCGCTCATTTCAATGGATGAAGAGGGGATTACATGAGGAGGGTTCGGGGAGGGAGAAAAGGGCATTAACAGAGTTACACCGGCAGGGTGTAGCTCTACGATGCAAAAAAACGGACTCCTCAGCAGGAGCAGCCTGTGTGGCGCTCGGCCAACTGAATCCACAGGTGGGTGGGAGGTCATGGGAAAGCAAAGAGCACAGTGAGTGCCTCCATCTTTATGACCTCGATGCAGAGACCACAATCTGAAGGCGGGGGGGTAGGTAGGGTTTTCACAACATTTGTCTGCATTCCTTCCATTGTGGGGGTTTTTGCACGCAACTCCAAGGCTGCTTATGGCGTCAGATTGAATAACAGAACTTTGTTTGGGTCAGGCAGAGATAATTTTCCTCTCTGCCTTAAAGTCTGTATTGACCATTCAAGTCCTCCAGTGAAGCCAATTCGGTGATTAAACATCTCCACACCGTCCAGTGACCCTCTCTGAGATGACATCCATTTTGTGCACTAACACCGGTAACACAGCTAAGACATTGTCCAGCTTGCGATTCACCTCGAGTAACGTCCCAGTCTGTGAGGTCTCCGCCCGGACGGTGCCGTCCATGGGTGCGGGTCGCCCTCCAATCGCTCCCGTCATCCCAATTTTTTGGAAAACCAGATATCCTCCCACTCCAATCAGAAGAAATCCAGTGATCATCAGGCCAAATATCCACACATATTCAACGTCCTCAATGGACAGCTGAGAGAGACAGATGACATTCCACTTCTTCCAGGAATCGAGCATATATCCCGCTGCGTGTGTCCCGTGAGGGCAAGCGCGAGCCCCCTCCTCCGTTCTCATCGTAGAAAAAATCTTATCTATCGCGTTGAATGACGAATTAATTAAATCCATTTCTGAAAAATAGTGATTTCCAGAGGAAATGCAGAGAAGCGCTCTGTAGGCAGACGGGACAAAAAGAGCCTTGGGAAAAAGATAAGGGAGCAAAGCAGAAGCGACTGTGCTCTGTGAGTGCCAGAAGAGAGAATTTGAGACTCAAATCAGTTTTCTCACTTTTCTCACAAGATTACTTCTCCTCTGTGCATAATCCAGTCACCGGTTGGTGCTCCACAGCAAAGAGCAATGACGTACAAAAGCAAAAAGAAGGCTGGAGCACTCAAAGTGACCAAATATTTAATAGTTGCAAGCACAAAAACGGACTAACTTTTGACACCTGCCTGTGTCTTCATCAGTAACATACTTACTCTGATGAAGACAGATGTCGACACATTAGTCCATTTTTGTGCTTGCACCTATGAAATATTTTGTCACTTTGAATGCTCCTGCCTTCTTTTTGCTTTTCTCACAAGATTGTTTTTACTTGTAAAAACTTCCCAGAAGTGCCCAGATGCCACGGTTGTGTAAAAAAAACTTGCAAACCTTCGATATTGTCATACAAATGTAACACTCTGAAATATACTTATATTTTTAGATCAAAGAACAAATAAGGTGGCATCACTAATTTCCAAAGTATAACCTTGTACGTTTTAACAGTTTTTATAAATTTTACATGTAATTTTCATATTTGCCATAGACATTTGGAAATCTGCATAAAACAGTCATTGTACTAAAACCATGTTTAAAATATCATTACGAGTCCTTAGTGTTTTCTAACATGACGACTCCTGGTTTCAGAGGGCTAAAGAAGCAAAAACACCAGGTCCACATCTCCATTCCCCCCAAAAAAATCATGACCCAAAAAATAAAACAAAATGTTCTAAAAATTAAGACATTTAATTTTTAGAGAACTTAACAAATATATTTAACATCCCCTGCTAAATAAATTATTCAATAATAATTAAGTACAAAATACTCCAAAATGTCTGAGGTGTAATTTTTTTATCTTTATGACAGCCACTCTAAGGCAAACATTAAGCTCTTTTTGAACATTGTTTTATATGATACATAAACATGCACTATTGATAGTTGAAATCTATTCATTAATTGGCTTTTGTGAGACTAAAAACATTCATATTTCCTAATTATCCATCCATTTTCATTCATTTATCGTGTTAGGTTGCAGGAGCAGTAGCCCAACCAGCGAGGCCCAGACTTCCCTCTTCCCAGCCACTTGGGCCAGCTCATTGAATTGCTTCTGTGTAAAATGTGCAACATTATTAAAGCTGCCTTGCCTCCTCTGGGGGAATGCGGAGGCATTTGCAGGTGAGATGAGAAACATAGCATGTCCTGGGTCTTTCCTTAGGCCTCCTCCTGGTTGGACGTGCTGAGATAACGTCACCAGGAAGATGTCCACGAGGCATTCTAACCAGATGCCTGAGCCACTTCATCTGGCTCCTCCTCGATGTGGAGCCAGATGAATGTGGATGTGGATCTCCAAACCCCTCCAAGATGACTGAATGTCTCACCCTATCTCTAAGAGAAAGCCCACACACCCTGTGGAGAAAACTCATTTTGGCCACACGTATCCGTGATCTCATTCTTTCAGTCACCACCCAAAGCTCGTGACCGTAGGTGAGGGCTGGCATTTAGAATGAACCGAACATTGAGAGCTTCTTCCAGCTGAGCTCTCTCTTCACCACGACAAACCGGTACAATGCCCGCATCACTGCAGACACATTTTCTAATTATTTTCAGATGATTAAATATTAACTAAGTAAGAATCCAAAAAAAAAACAACACACAACTCATATAATTTGCTATTAGATAATTATGACTACAGCTGTAATCACAAAACACTTTCCAAATGATTTGTACCTGTAAATATCAATAAATAACTTTGCTATTTGGTTCCAAGTGTGTGTCTCTTGCCTCATCGACAATGCAGCCCTCCTCCCATCATTTGCCTGGTGCTATCTCACTCAGACTGCACACCCACCACAGCTGCAGATGTGGGCCTGACACATGACTCGTGTTCACAACCCTTTAGGGCCGGTAGAATCTTGGACGCACTCCGCTGTCAGCTGAAGAAGCTCTTTTGATTTTTCCTCTTGCATGTCATCATGCACTGGACTTTAGCTGGATTCTGTGGGCTAGCACTGACCAGTCTGTCAGGTAAGTTTTAACTTTTATCTAAACTCCCTTCCAAAAATGGCATATATAGGCAACTGATGGAGGATAGGTAACAGATGTAAATTGGTTAAGAGCTGTTTATCATTGCAATAGTATTATGGTTTGTGAGGATTAAACAGCCATACAATTGTCATTTTATTGTGTGTTTAAAGGTTGTTATGGTGCACACAGGAGTTTTGCATGTTATTTTTGACTCCTCTATACCATTACTTCCTGGACATCTGGGGGAAAGAGGAAGTTCACCAATGAGACAAAAACCATAACTATATTGTAATGCTGATGAATCGTTGTCTTTGAAAATCAATAAATTGTTTTATTTATCAGCCCATTCACTTTATTTTAGGCATTTCTTTCTACTTTATTATATAAAAACACATCAAGTGTTTTAAGCAAAGGGTTTACTTAAACATTGATATTAATACAATAATAAACATGAGATGTTGCAACAACAACAATTAACATGTTTATTTAATTACTAATTTAATTCTAATTCATTATTGAATTTTTTGACAGTTGTTCAACCTGTTCTGTGGACAACAAACATTTTATTGTCACTTCAGAAGAAAATTACAGAAACTATTTATCCATTTCTAACTTTCATGACTGGTTTTGATTCATCATCCTTTTCTTTTAATGGGTTTTGGTTAATGGTAATGGTCTTTTTTGGCATCAGAGAAAAGCAAACTGGCCCTCAAAATATCTCAGACGCACAAAACAGAAATTCATCTTAAAATTAAAATTTTCATCGAATGGATGCCAAATAATTTTCCATTTAAAAAGTGAAAGCCACATTTTTTCTTTTATTTTACATTTTTATAAACTAGTTCTAAACTGGTTTGTGAAAACATTCAGAAAATGTATCGATATTTCTTTGTTTAGGATCTTAAGTGATTTAAATGGAATTAGAATTAGAATATGCTGGTGAAGGTTCTCAGTCATCCAGGTCATGGCAATCCAAAGGGCTTCGAATGAAGGCAACTGGACATCGCTTTCTTGCAGACATTTTGCTTCTCAGTGGTCTCCACTCTCCAGAGTCGACGAAAGACCAACTACCATCTTGTTTTGCTGTGTTAATGACCCTGAAAGGAGCAGCCTAGTCTGCTGCTGAACAGCTTCCAAGCTGTGATGCAATATGTTTAAACACTAATAATGGTTCTAGAAAGGTTTGCCCATCTCAGTGTTCTGAGGAAATACCGCCTCTGGTGGGTCTTTTTCACCACAACAGTGGCATAGTGAACAGTCCAGTTCTCTTGATGTGAATGATATATAATTTAAAGCTGGTGACCCTTTCAACCCCACCACCCTGTTATAAATGGCAAATGGTCCTCTTGTTTCTGCCTGATGTCCATCTTTAGCAGAACCAGCTCAAGGCATACTCAAATTAAGCAATTGCTTGGGTCCCCCCCCCCCAACCCCCAACTACCATGGGGCCCCCAAAGATTACTCGAGAAAAAATGTTTTATTAACTGTAATTAATACAGACTAAATGATTTTACAAAAGGGAAATTATTTAAATGTTATTTTCTATATTTTCGTTTGGTTGTATGGTGTAGTGATTGCACATTTTACATGTCTAGTCTACATTTAAGGAGGAAGACAGTTCACTATCATTTTAGTGTTTGTCTGCTGATGTTATTTTCAAAACAGTTGAATTAATACCACGGTTAAATAACATCACCTTTGGAAATGCAAATAAATTTGAGTATTAATTTGCCAGGAGCAATTCTCCAGCAAAGTTAAAACAAGTAGCCATAATAGTGCTGGTACTTCATAGTACTGCTTACAAATGATACCAATGAAAGTGGGTATATTACACACATAGTGTAGCCTGGTGATGATGAATCTTCTGTGTTTACTTGTTGGTATAGCAACAGCACAAAAGCATGGGTCAGCAATGATCATTTGTTCTTTTGTCTTTTCTCTTCTATTGGCTCACCACTCTGTTAACATCCATCAACCCTCTTCTAGTTTTCCTTCATTTTGTAGCAAAACTGTTTGCTCTTTGATTCAAAATTGTTATGATTATTTACCTTCTCCACTCCCAATAAACTGTGTACATTAATGCCTGCATGTTCACTAACTGTGGCCCATTTTGTTTCTTTTGCACAGTCGCCTTGCAAATCAGCCAGAAGCCTCGGTTTTATGGGGTGAAAACTGGCCACAGTGTGGGGATTTACTGTTCTTCTTCACTAAAGCATCTGAACAGCACTGTGAAGTGGTACAAGGCCGATGAATACAACACAGAGAAGATGGAGATTCAGACCGATGAAAGGATTACGCTTGAACGTAAGGATTTGATTCAAAATGCTTTCCTTTACCTCAGCGCGCTCCAAACACAGGACAGTGGGGTTTATTTCTGCAAAATAAACAACACCTGGGGGCCGGGAACCAAACTGCAAGTAGTCCGTAAGTGAATGTAACTAAGGGTTACTTTATTCCTGCTCCAGGTCACGTTTAAAACGCAGTAACTGACACCACGTTTTGCTCCTCTTAGGACCCATTGACCTTTCTGCTACCTTGTACAGGAGCAAGGTGAAGGATGGTCTCATTGTTCTGCAGGGCCTGATGTTGGCAGCATGCATTACTGCTGTGCTGCTGCGCAAACACAAACTGGTGAGAAACGAGCTTTTGACTTCACGACATTTTGACGTTTTGCTGAGAAACAACATTTTTAAAATCACCATTTTTAGTTAGTGTAAGCAATAAGACCAGACAAACACATCTGAGGGAGGACAACCCCAGCACGCCAAGTAGATCATGTTTGATATCCTCCTGTGTTCCAAGCTTCTGTTGTGGCATTTTTTACTTTACCTATAGGCTCTTGAGGGTTACTTCATAACTTTATAGAACTTTAAAACACTTAAGGTAATTTCCCAAAACTAAATAATTAGCAAAACCTTTATTGTAAAATTGAAACTTGATGTGAGGAACCTACAGTTTAGACTGCTTCTTCTTCAATAGGTTAAGGAATTTCATTACTTTTCTCCTATTGAATCCTTTTTGTTTTTTTCAGGCCTCTAAAGAGGATGGCGAGAGTTAATTAGGGCTTTTATAAATTTAGGGCTTTTATACATTTATAAAGAAAGAAGAAAGAAAGAAAGAAAGAAAGAAAGAAAGAAAGAAAGAAAGAAAGAAAGAAAGAAAGAAAGAAAGAAAGAAAGAAAGAAAGAAAGAAAGAAAGAAAGAAAGAAAGAAAGAAAGAAAGAAAGAAAGAAAGAAAGAAAGAAAGAAAGAAAGAAAGAAAGAAAGAAAGAAAGAAAGAAAGAAAGAAAGAAAGAAAGAAAGAAAGAAAGAAAGAAAGAAAGAAAGAAAGAAAGAAAGAAAGAAAGAAAGAAAGAAAGAAAGAAAGAAAGAAAGAAAGAAAGAAAGAAAGAAAGATTTTCTGACTGTATTCTTCAGAAAAATCCAGGAAAGCGTCACTTTTTCTACATTTTATTGAAGATGCTTCTGCTGTTCTCACTGCATTTGTTTGCTGTAAGTTTTTATTTGCATCGATAGGAAATTTAACTTCAAATGATGCTTTCAAATGTAACTTCAGCAAGATCACAATTTTAAATGTTTGATTTGTAATTTCTAGGTCTAATTTCTACTTATAGTACATGTACTGCAAACTTTTTCAAATCTTTACATGTTTTTTTTATATTTCTGTAATTCTTTGTTGTTTTTAAACAGGTGGAAACCAGTGACAGCATTTATGAGGAGCCTGAAACTCACCACATCTATGAGGTTAGTTTAATTTTCTCTGTGTTTAAATGAGAAAGATGCATGGATATGCTTTGATCAGCAGTCTGCACGGTTCTGGTTCTGTTACGGTGAGCAAACAGCACAGCTGCAGGGTCTCATTTTACATAAAAATCACAAGTGCACAACTGACAGTCAACAGGACACATGCTGGTCTTGCACCACTGAGTTTAAAACCACAATTGTTTTTGTAGTTTTTTTCTTTTGTCGTTGCTGCTGTATGTATTAGGAACAGGCTAAATATTCCCTTCACCTCATGATATATTTTTTGTTTTACCTTTTGTTCACAAAGTCAGAATGTAACATTTGTGGAGAACTACTGCCCATGACAACAGGCAGAGAGGCACATGAGTGGCGGGACTACACAGCTCAAAAGTAACCAATCAGAAAAAAGACGGAAATGCTGACTGTACGGCGCGGTAGTTTTCTTGCAGTATTAAAAAAAAGGCGTCTAGCAACGGCACAAACATCTTTTGTTTTTGAAGAAATGCCTTTAGCGCTTCTACTTGTGGTTTTAAAGACATTTGAGTCATTTAGAACAGAGGAAAGAGCCACAGCAAACTCCGCCGCTATCGTCGTTGTTTGTGAGAAACTGACTGTAGCTGTGTGTGACGTCCGTGACGCTGTAGTTTTTTAGCTGTAGTCAAAAATGGAGTCTGACGACAGCACAAACATCTTTCTTTAGAAGAAAGGCTTTTAGTGCTTCTACTTGTTGTTTTAACGACATGTCTAATTCATTTAGACCAGAGGAAAGAACCGTAGAGAACTCCGCTTCATTTGCCATGTTTGACTTACTCTGCGTTATGGTGGGTGATGTACGCTACTCAGCACAGGGCTCAGTTAGAATTCTCAGGGGGTGGGGTTATTTAAACAGGAGGGCTCAGTTAGAATTCTCAGGGGGTGGGGTTATTTAAACAGGAAAATTCCCAGACCCTTTCTCTGTGCAGAATTAAACAGAGGAGCAGTGGCGGTTTTACCATTAAGCATAGGTCGGCGGCCGCCTGGGGCCCCCTTATGTTGGGGGGGGCCCCTAGCCCTGACTGCTGGCACCCCTCTGTTAATTCCTTTAAGATGCAGATGCACAAACAGGAAGTGATTGGTAGTTATTCCACTCCAGTCCAGTTGGTGGCAGTAGTGCACCAAATTCGCAAATCCAGTTAAAGATGAGATTGTCGAACATTTTGTGTAGGGGGGCCCCATGTCTGTGTTTGCCTTGGGCCCCCAAATTGCTAAATCCGCCACTGCAGAGGAGTCTGGCAGGCCAGGCTAGTGACGTTCCACTGCCGTTCCGTGCCACTGACGCTTTCAGTGTGAAACAGGGGCCATGAAGGCTGAGGAGACCTTTCAGCTGTTTGATTAACGTGTTAAAAGGATGAACACACAGTGAGGAGATAGGTTTTGCTTTCGGTTTAACCACAGTGAATTATTATTGGACACTAGGTAGTGCTAAAGCAAGCAAAACTGCCTAGTATCTGTTTAACCAACCTGTTGCATAAATCCAGACCCAAGCATGGTAGGAAATGTAGTTTATCAACACCTCCTTTGATTACTGTTTTTGGATCCATCATAATCACTCAAAGCCATCTTTTCCACTCCTTAGGGCTTGGCGATCGAAACGTGTGAAGGAGCTCTGTATGAGGACCTTTCTTTGTATCAGACTGAAGGAGCCGAGGCCCCCTGGGAGTGAGACTGACACCTACAAATACTCAGAACATGTTCGTGGAGGTTTTTTGATGGAAACAACACATCAGATGTACCGATACATGTGTTTCTTCAAGACGTGCAGTTTGAATCATTTTATATGCTGGCCACACCCTGGGCAGAACACATCTGAGCTTTTTTTTTTTTTTTTTACCAACGCACATACTGAACTTAACAGTAAAAACTGAAATCAAATCTTAAAGAGGAGGTTGACTTAGAAACAATTTTTTGTTATTTTTGAAAATGATCTCTCTGAGTTTTTCATGCAGGCTGAACATGAAAATAGTCTCCTACACATCTCCTGCATTAGCTTCTGATAGAAAATAGATGGTGAAGCTTCTGATAGAAAATAGATGGTGAAACGTTGAGATTTCAAAAATCCTGACAGATCTACGTCACACTGTCACTTAAAATTCATGCACTCACTCATCTCGACTCACAACGAGGAAGGTTGTAGTTGGTTTAGCGTCCAGGAATCAGCAGAGAAAGTCTCGGCTGGCAGAAGCTAACCGTTAGCATTAGCAACTCCACTACACAGCAGAACTCCTTCAGGCTTGTGTTATTAGTGGAAATAAAACATCCATGTTGCAAAGCAAACAGAGTTAGTGGTAGAGTTGCGTTACTGTTAGCCTATCAGAGGCGAGATGTCCAAATATGAGGAAATAAGACTCCCAATTCTGTCATCTGAAGCTACTCTCCTCCCGCTGACTTTTACATCCTCAAACATGCACTCCTGGGCCCCCAAATTGCGAATTACAAGGCATTCATTCCTACAAGAGACCGCTGCAAATGTGTTTAAAATATGACAAAAGTTGACCTTTAAATTATATGAGGCATTTTAAAATGAAATTAATAAATACATTATTATAACTTTCTTTTAATTCTTGCAATATCGCTATCTTCCTTATGGGTCAAAATTGTTAACAGACAAAGAAACCCTTCTAGCTTTTTTTTCTTAGTGTGGACATTAAAATGTAACAGCATTCTTTAAGAAAACAGCTTTTATCTTTGCTGCATTGTTTTCTAATTATTTTATTAACTCTTGATAATAACTCAAACATTAAAACTTCACTCAGTTTTTTTTTTATTTTATTTAGGTGATTTGGGTAGTTTTGTATAGAGTGTGTGTAAAATTATTTTTGCTTACTTGAATATTTCACACATTCACCTGGTGTTTACTAACAGTGTTTGTTATGTTTGTAGTAATAAACAGATTTCAACCTTCCAGTATTGAGCCTCTTTTTATTGTGTTGATATTTTATGTACAAAAAACAAATTTATTAATAAATAAATAAATAAATAAATAAATAAATAAATAAATATTTGTCAGATGTCAATTTCTAGTGACTAAAGATGACACCAGATGGTCTGCTTTGATCAGATGAGCTTTGATTTCTTTCAAAACCAGCTCCCAGGCTTCACGGCTGTGGCCCTGCACACACAAGAACATTTAAATTAGTCAAAGTTTAAAGAATCAGGAATCTGTATTTTTTATTAAGTTCAGAAGGGCAGGCTCACCATTTGTCCAAAAACAGTGCGTGAGAGTCTCTTGAAATACATGTGGAGCCTCGTGTTTGTCCACCTGTGTCCTCCAACCTGCAGAACAAAATCAAAAAGGGTCGTTTTAGTTTAAAAATCTGGTTTAAAAAGACCTGTAAAGGCATTGAGATGTGAATGACTCTTACGCAGGAGTGGAGCTCATCTGCCTGTTGGTTGATGACACTGAGAAAGTTCTCCTCTGTGACCTCCTCCCATGATGACGAGACATGGTCCTCCTCAAACAGGGAGGACACCTCCTTCAGAATCTGGACCATGAACGCTACTTTATCCTCCATCTGGAGCAAGAAGAAAAACATTCATAAATTAGAAAATAAATTAAAAAAATTAACATTTATTTATTTATTCATTTATTTTATTTTGTTTATTTATTTTTGCAGAAGTTGGTGTCTTACCGGGGCTCTGGAAGCTTGGCGGTAAAGATAATGAGGGAAAGGAATAATAATCACTTCTTCATCCTCACTGATCTGATGATCAGCCTGAACCCAGAACACTCAGATTAGATTTACAGGAGATGGTTAAACCTTCAGTTCATGAGAATAAATGCAGAAGTGTCCACTCACCATCATATCCAGCAGGTCTAAGGATGCTCCACTGAACTGGCTGAATTTTTTATCCATCCACCTGCAGCTCAGAGAGGAGCATGCGCTGTACAGACCCAGACACACGCAGGCAAACAAGACCCTGCTCAGCATTTTTAATAAAAGTGTGTAAAACTCTTCTATAAGACGAAGCAATCTCTTTGGCTGTCCTCCGATGTTCTGTGGCTGACCTGCAGCAGCTCTTTTAAAAACAAGCACACCTCATTTCATTTTTCAGACATCAGCGCGGATTTCACCTGAGCAGACAGGTGTGTAACTGAGACCTGAAACAGTACGGACTGAATCAAAACAACCACAAAGCCCGATAAAGTAGGCTAATAATAATCAAAACAAAAGTAAAAGACTGTATGTTCTCAAGTCCAGTATTCTATAAAGCTCGGTGTGGAAGTATTGGACATGTTCTAATTCATAATTCAGGTGTAAAACAGACCATGCATGTTCTTGTTGACTGTGTTCCGTCTTTAAGAGTCTATAATAGTCTTATTTTCTGTTTTAGGTTAGGGAGTTACAATAATTTGTGCTGTATTTTCACACTGTGTTGTAATTGTCTGTTTTTTGCTATTGTCTCGTGCTGTCATGTTGTCATTCCATGTTATCTTATCTGTTTTTCAACTTCTGTGAATTGGACTAAGAGTCCGGAATAAACAATACTTGACTAGTCAGATTGCATCACTTCCCTTCGGTTTACTCCGTTGTGTCGTCATTGCCCCATAAAAGGGAAGTTCCGGTTTTAAACAGAAAATGAAAGTATTTGCAGCTCTGACACGGCTGAAATGCCGACTGAAAGGCAGCTGTTGACTCTGATCCTTCTGTTGGTGATCAGTCCGTTTCATTAGACGTGAGTATTTGCTCTAAACTTCGTTTAAATGTCTCCAGGAAGTCACAAAACGCATATTTGATTTAATTTAAACGGCTTAAATTAGAGAAAATTGTGTTTGATGCGTTTGCAGATCAGTGCCACGCAAGCGAATGAAAAATCTCCTTTGGGTGCTGTGCTGTGCCTTTGTTTAGTTTTACCTTGGTCACTGAACAACAAAACTAAATAAACAACCGTTTGTTTCATTGATTCAATTCAGTGAACCTATTTTTTGCAGCAGTTTTTAACTGTAAAGTCATGAAACCCCAGTAGAAGATCGTATGGCATCATCATCATCATCATCATCCAAGAACTGCGTGACGTCATTCTGAAACAGATGAGCCATGTAGTTACATACGTAAGTTAACGTACTGTTATGTTGAGCATTTTCTCAAATACTTAAAAACCTATTCTCCATATCTCTCTCTCTCTTCTCAATTTGCCCTAAGGTTTTTTTTTTGTCATTATTAGCAGATACTGCCCTAGAAATAGGTGTTTTGTAAATTGCTGCGTTGCTCTGTTCCAGATTTTCATATTTTATTTATTTTATTTTGTTTTATTTTATTTTACATGTTTACTTTAACTTGGAAAAATATATTTATTTTTGAGAAAAAGTGCTCTGCCTGCTGGTTAAAAGCAGCATTAAGGTAACAAGGTGACGGAATAAAACCATTTTAATTTAACAAAAAACGCATTAGTTCAAAAGGTGCTAATTGTTTTTGTGTTTAATCAGTCGGTGAACTGCTACGCAACTAAAACAAGACAAAACGTGAAAATTTTTATACAAAATAGATAGAGTTAACAGTTTCAAAGAAAAACTCCCAAGGGGTTTTAAAAATGAGAAAGGCAAAAAATATATAAAAATAAATAAATAAAATACCTGATGCCTGAACTGTGATAAAATAAGTGTTTGCAAATGAAAATTGTGTTTTAAAGTTTGCCTTGGGCTACACATTATGATCACTGTAAGAAGATGTGACAAAACATTCTCCTGTTCTGTAAAACACACTTTGTCTTCCAGTTTCACTGGAAAATTAGAATATGGTGCAAAAGTTCATTTACTTCAGTAATTCAACTTAAAAGGTGAAACTAATATTTGAGACAGACTTATTCCATGGAAATCCTGATATTTCAAGCCTTATGTGTTATAATTGTGATGATTGTGTGTTACAGCTTAGGAAAATCTCACATTATAAATCTCAGACAATTGTCAAAAGGCTCAAAATGCTAGATTAAAAAAGTCTCTCACTCTACAACCAGCTAATGAATCAGAGCACCAAAGGGTTCCTGAGCCTTTAGATGGTCTCCCAGTCTGCTTCAGACTTCATATTCTAATTTTTCATGTTTAACATGTGTCCCATCCTTTTATGAATAAAATAAAAGTCAAAATGTTTCGTTTGAGGCTTTTATTCAGTTATTTATTGCAAGCAAAAAACAAACATTTTATACCATAAATATCGAATTAGTAAAGATTTATATTTTCCAATACAAATAGAAATGGATAAATAAATAAATATTGGCTATGAAAAATAATTCTTCATGTGAGAGGTAGATCAGGGACCCGATGTCAGTTTCTGGTGAGTAAAGATGGGAGATTGTCTACTTTGATCAGATGAGCTTTGATTTCCTTCCTGATCAGCTCCCAGGCTTCAGCGCTGTGGCCCTGCACACACCACAGGGTCATCAGCATCACAAAACCATTTATGTTTAAAATGTCATTTTTACATCAGACCAAAACTCAGACCAAGACTCACCATTTTCTTCAGGATTTCATCTGACAGTCTCTTGAAATACTTCTGCAGCTTCACATTCATCTTCGTGTGGCCTTGACCTCCAATCTAAATTTATTCCAAGAGGAAAAGTTAGAAAGTAAAACCAACATCTTTGTTCAGGTTTATTCATGTTTAGTTTACAAAAAGTTGGTTTAAAGATGTAAAAAAAAAAATGCCCCAGGCTCAGTGAAAGTGGACCTACGCAGGAGTGGAGCTCTTCAGCCTGTTGGTTGATGACGCTGAGAAAGTTCTCCTCTGTGGTCTCCTCCCAAGATGAAGAGCTGTGGTCCTCCTCAAACAGGGACAACACCTCCTCCAGAATCTGGACCATGAACGCTACTTTATCCTCCGCCTGGAGTAAAAAGATTATCGATTAAAGTTTCCTATTTCCACTGACACACATTCAGCTTTTCTATGGACAGAAATGAGACTGACTCACTGAAGCTTTGGAGGCCTGGTGGTACAGATGATGAGGGAAGCCTACAGTGTTCTCCTCAGCCTCAGTGCTGTTAGTGGAGTTATTAGCCTGCAGCACACACACACACACACACACACACACACACACACACACACACACACACACACACACACACACACACATCAGCTGTTGTATTCAACAATGACGTCACCAGAATGTAAACGTGTTACCAAGAGTCCACTCACCATCATATCCAGCAGGTCTAAGGATGTTCCACTGAACTGACTGAATTTTTGATCCATCCACCTGCAGCTCAGAGAGGAGCATGCGCTGTACAGACCCAGACACACACAGGCAAACAGAACCCTGCTCAGCATTTTTAATAAGAGTGTGTAAAAATCTTCTTCAGTAGGAAGCAAACTCTTCAGATGTCTTTGGATGTTCTGTTGGAGCTGACCTGCAGCAGCTCTTATAAAGCTGAGACCCATTTTTCATTTTAGACTGAAGGTCAGCGTGGCTTTCAGCTCATCAATCTGAAAACAAAAGCTCCATGTTTCACATGAATTTATTCATAAGACCACCAAAAGTACTGTCAGATGGTTTTCACCTAAAAACAGATGATCGTGTCTTCTCTTTCACATCTAATTTATTAGGAAAGAAGGATCAGACATGCAGTCACATGCTAAATGTCCTCCTTGTGTTTTATTCTAAGTGCATTTTTATTATTTAGAGAGACCATATGTTAATTACAGCTTTTTTTGTCATTTATTTTTAGGAAAATTCAAATGTTTTACTTTTCTTTTTTTACTAAATAGTCAAAGCCAATGTCAGTTATTAAGGAAGCTCCATTAGATGCTGTTCATGAAAATATTATAATGGTCTATTTTTATTTTTTTATTTTAATTATTTATCTCAAACCATTGAAAAAACATCAAATAAATAATAATAAATAATGGTCTATATAAAAAAATAAAAGCGTTTAAATCATAATTAACCAGTTGACCTTTTATATTTATGAATAAATAGGGCAATTTATCACCGTATAAGGAGACGTCTAATTCCTGAAATAAAATAAAATAAAATAAAATAAACACTGATCATTAATGAAATATGAGAGGCTGTTTCTCTCGCTGCAGACTCAAAGGAGACATCGGAGACTGATTCTCCTGAATGGGCGTCAGAGCGCGTCGTACTTTCATTTTCCTCTGATGTAACTTTCCCTGTTTATGACCTGCTGCTGCAATCTCACTCATGGTTTATTATGAGGATGAATGAGTGCGGATCGTTCACGCGGAGGCGGTCACGCGGTCCAAAACACTGATAAAAGGAGCAGAGACGAAATAATGAAATCAGAAACAGTTTCTAAAATATTAAAAATGCTCAAGAAATGAACAGCTTTATGATTGTTTATATATTTCTGTATCACCTGGTGAGTTGTGTACATTTTTATTATAAATAAGTGACTTTATTCGGTATTTTGCGCGACCCTTAAATCTTGATTTGAATCAAACCCGGAACTCTTAAACATTAAACATGCAAAAAGAAATAAAAAATATATAAAACACAGTAAGAAACTGTCCCTGAATTGCTTCGCATGTTAAAAAATAAGTGCATTTTAAAAAGCAAACGGAAAACTAATTAAATACATTTTTGTTCACATCTGCTTGTGTATGCGTCGGTAGGCTGTACGTGAACGCGTATTGACATTGTAAAATTAGTCAGACTAATTTTATGGAATTAAAAAGTTGAGGTCAGAAAAGTAAAACAGAAAGGTTAAATAATTGTGGAAGTCGTGCTCAAAATATCATCCAAATACACCGGAGGCGAAACTTCATCTCACTGCTGTTAAACCAGCTGTTATTGCTTTGCTTTCGTCTCGCGCTGACGCTCCTTCAGAAGAACCAAGCCTGCCGACCCATCTGCAGAAGCCCCATCACCATTCAGCGACTAAATTCGGTTTAATGAGTGTTTCTCTTTATGTTTACTTATCGTGAGACGCCATTGTGGTGTAAATGTTGGAGAAAATGTATTCATACGGAAACAGAAAATGGCCAAATGATATAGGTTATAGCTTGGCGTGAATCAACTTCAACAGTTTATAATAATAATAATAATAATAATAATAATAACATAAGAAGAAGAAGAAAAAGAACAATAATACATGTTAATTATTATTATTATTATTATTGTTAATAATAATAATATAAGAAGAAGAAGAACAAAAGCAAATGTTTATTGTTGTTGTTGTTGTTATTATTGTCATTTAAAAGCCACTTCCTAAAACTTAATAGATTTGAATGGCTGATCCTTTCCCCCTGAATGTAAACATGGCATGCAACTTTATTTATACAGCACATTTCCTACACAGAGGCAATTCAGTGTGAATAACTGTATAATTAAATTAGAAAATGCACGAAGAAAACCAGATAAAAATGCTAAATTAAAGACTAGGCTTTACAGAAGGTGCAGTATGAGAAACATATGAAGAAAGATGAATACATGCATTTTGATCAAAAAGTTAAAGTTGGGGCAGATAAGGAAGGTGATTCCATCTGTGTGGAAAAAAAGTAGAATTTCTCTTAAAATGAATTACTGAAAAAATAAAGTTTTAATTAAAATCTGGTTTAGACTACTTATGTTTAGTTTAGAATAAAACATTCGGAGGACAAAGAAGACTCTTGGTAACATGTTTACATTCTGGTGACGTCATTATTGAATACAACAGCTGATGTCTTGTGTGTGTGTGTGTGTGTGTGTGTGTGTGTGTGTGTGTGTGTGTGTGTGTGTGTGTGTGTGTGTGTGTGTGTGTGTGTGTGTGTGTGTGTGTGCTGCAGGCTAATAACTCCACTAACAGCACTGAGGCTGTGGAGATCATAGGCTTCCCTCATCATCTGTACCACCAGGCCTCCAAAGCTTCAGTGAGTCAGTCTCATTTCTGTCCATGGAAAAGCTGAATGTGTGTCAGTGGAAATAGGAAACTTTAATTGATAATCTTTTTACTCCAGGCGAAGGATAAAGTAGCGTTCATGGTCCAGATTCTGGAGGGGGTGTTGTCCCTGTTTGAGGAGGACCACAGCTCTTCATCTTGGGAGGAGACCACAGAGGAGAACTTTCTCAGCGTCATCAACCAACAGGCTGAAGAGCTCCACTCCTGCGTAGGTCCACTTTCACTGAGCCTGGGGCATTTTTTTTTACATCTTTAAACCAACTTTTTATAAACTAAACATGAATAAACCTGAACAAAGATGTTGGTTTTACTTTCTAACTTTTCCTCTTGGAATAAATTTAGATTGGAGGTCAAGGCCACACGAAGATGAATGTGAAGCTGCAGAAGTATTTCAAGAGACTGTCAGATGAAATGCTGAAGAAAAGCTCTTCTGATCAGAGTAGACAATCTCCCATCTTTACTCACCAGAAACTGACATCTGGACCCTGATCTACCTCTCACATAAAAGCTAATTTTTTTATTTATTGTTTTCATGTTTTTTATCCAAATATTTTATTAGGTTTTATTTATTGAAAGATTGTTACACATTTCTTACTGCTTATAATTATTTACATATTTACTGAACTATTGTTTCAGCTTTTATTGTACGGATGATTCAAATGAAAAATATTCTTAAAACATTTTCAAAAAATGTAAAGATCTTTATCACATTTTACAATAAAGGAAATAATTTGCATGATGAAAATGTTAGTCTTACATTTTTTATTTGTTTTATTTGTTTTATTTGTCATATGCAAGTTAGCACAGGGTCAACATTGCAATGAAATGTGGTTGACGAGCAGCGGTCTCTCAGCAGCATAATACAATAGAAAAAAGAAGAAGGTATAATACAGTGAAAGCAAAATATTAGAGAGTCATGCTAAAAGTAAAAGCTTACTAAATAGATAAGTAAGTATAGATGACTAAATATAAATATATCTTAAAAAAAGTGAGTAGTTACTTTAAAATGAAGTAACCAGTGCAGATTAAATTTTACTTGTGGAGCTGCAGGGTAACATCTGTATCCTGTGTTGTGTGTGTTTAAGTGTGTGTTTAAGTGTAATGGTTGAGGTGTTGTATGGCTTGGTGGTAGAAACTGTTTTTAAGTCTCGTAGTCCGAGCAGGCAGACTCCTGTAACGTCTGCCAGATGGTAATGAGGAGAACAGCTGATGCGCTGGGTGGCTGTGGTCCTTGATGATGCTGTGTGCTTTCCGGAGGCATCGCTGGAGATAAATGTCCTGAATGGCAGGAAGCCTTGCGCCAGTGATGTGCTCTGCTGCTTTCACCACCCTCTGTAGTGATTTACGGCTGCTGGCAGAGCAGCTTCCATACCAAACTGTGATGCAGCTCGACAGCAAGCTCTCAATAGCACACCTGTAGAACTTTGAGATGATACTAGTGTTCATGCCAAACTTCCTTAGCCTCCTCAGGAAGTAAAGCCGCTGGCGAGCTTTCCTGATAACAGCGTCTGTGTGGAGGGTCCAGGAGAAGTCCTCAGTGATGTTGACTCCAAGGAACTTGAAGCTGCTGACCCTTTCGACCATGACACCGTTGATGTGGATGGGTTGGTGTTCCCTGACTGGTCGTTTCTGGTAGTCCACTATCATTTCTTTGGTTTTGCTGATGTTGAGAGACAGGTTATTATCCAGGCCTATCCTCTCTATAGGCTGTCTCATCATTCCCTGTGATGAGCCCTATGATGGTCTCTCTGAGCTGCAGGTGGATGGTCGTATCATCCGCAAACTTGATGACGATGTTGGACTCATCAACACAGTCGTGTGTGAACAGGGAATATAGGAGGGGGCTAAGTACACAACCCTGGGGCGTACCTGTGTTTAGGATGAGTGATGAGGAAGTGTGTTTACCCACTCTCACCACCTGGGGCCTGTTCGTAAAGAAGTTTAGAATCCATCTGCAGATCGGTACATCGATACATTGCATCAATGAAACTTTGTGCAACAGAATTGTTTCCATTCAGGATGAATTAAACAAACAGACAGAATAAAATACAAATCCTCAAGTTTTTCAATTTCAACTCAACATTTGTATATCAAAAATCACAGTATTTTCCATCCACGCTTGTTTTATTGTAATTTTTCTATTATGAAGGTGCACTTGTGGGCCATTCCCATCTGTAACAGGTCGGCCCGGGCCGGGTAGCCCCAGTCGGCCCCAGCCTGGCCCGGTTGATTCCACACATCCTTGTCTTAAGCCCATTTGGGCTGATTCTACCCACCAATCAGAGGCTTGCTCTAATGGAAGGTGTGAATTTGCTGTCAGCAGTGGGTGTGTTGGCCCTGGTCGGCCTGAAGCAGACCCCCTCGAGAAGAGGGCCGAGAATGAGCCTTGGTTGGCCCGGAAAAATACCAGGCCACCCAGATATGTAAACAACCTACGCTACCCGGCCCGGGCCGACCCGGTACAGATGGGAATGGCCCATTGCTCAGATGAACCATTTAGCACCGAATCAGCCTGTTACGTACGTTCACCTACACAGCCACTCGATGGCCTCCGCTGCTCCCTCCTCATCCGGTTCCCTTCCCAGCTGTTCCGAATTAGTCATCACCTGGTCTGTGTTAAAAGCAGCTCTCCGGCATCTAGTCAATGAGAAGGTGCAGGGTAGTGTAGACTCAGTTGAGTTTATACTGTTCTCTTCTCTTCGTATCGCTTGTTTGGCAAACCACGTGTTGCTCGTTCGTTTTCGGCTACACACTCATTAGGATTTAGGATTTAGGATTTAGGAATAGACAATTTGGCTTCTCGACTTCAGACCGTCTTTGACTTTGACTTTAGATCCCCCCTGAGCTTTCCTGATAAGCAGGAAATCTCTTAATATTTACGGTTATTTCATCCCCAACCCCTTCTGGGTTAGCTTTCTCCGTTCTTCCCCTTTTCTTTTGTATACAGCTCCTTTTCGTTTTATGTATATATATATAATTTATTATCGTTATAAATACTCTGTTTTGTAATAAAATCCTTTGTTATTTTAGCGACACAGCACTTTGTTATTATTTCACCCGCACACCAATTTTATTACTCCCCTAACCTCATCTCTCCTAGAGAGCCGGGGTCATAATACAGCCAATCTGTTTTAGTCTTCATGGATCTGAGACGTCTGCCTGAAGGAAGGAGTTCAAAAAAAGCATGTCAAGGGTGTGTTGGGTCCAGGATAATTTTCTCAGCTTTCCTGAGGCAGTAGGGACTGAAGTTGTTCTAGAGAGGGGAGTGGACAGCCAGCTGTCCTCTGGGCAGCCTTGATAACCCCGTGCTGCTGTGCAGCTATCAAACTGTAGACCGGGATGCCCTCTTCTGTGCCGCAGTAGGATTATAGCAGCAGTTTCTAAGCAATGCTGTTCTTTCTAAGTAACCTCATCAAACTTCTTCACTACCTCAGTGATGCGAGTCCTCCTTAATGGTGACCCCTAAGAAGCTGAAGTATGAGATACTCTCCACACAGTCCTCGTTTATGATAAAAGGGATGTTGTCTTTTGTCTTATCTTACGATGAGCTCCTTGGTCTTGGCTGTGTTAAGGACCGATTTATTATTCCTACACCAGACTTTCAGCCGCTCCACTTCTTCCTTTCGGCAGACTCATTTCCTGCAGAGACAAGCCCTACAACCGTGGTATTTGTAGAGGGTGTAGAGCAGAGGGCTCAGCACACAGCTCTGTGGGGCACCACTGCTGAGTTTGAAGGGAGTGGAGAAGTACGGGCCTGTCAAGACCTTCTGAATGTGTGATCACTTAAGAAGTCCTTGATCCAAAGGCAGTGAAGAGAGGAAGTCCTAAATCTAACACTTTGGTCACCAAAATGGTGTTAAGACTGACTGAAGCAGAAGATTTCAAGTTTTCTCTTGAGTTTTCAAATTTTGCGTCAAAACAACCACTAATTTTAAATCAATACAGTAAAACAGTAATGATATATTTAAAATATTTGCTAAAATAGCATTAATGTTGACAGTATTCGTTTCAATCCCACATCAATAACATCACCTGCGTAATATCAATCACCTTTGCCCCTCGCTCTCACCCCCATTCTGCTTCCATCCTTGTTCACACTGATGATAAAATGGTGCATGACTCCAGATCCATCTAGTGTCTTACTATGACCCTCAGAAAGTGTTATGTTAGATTTAGCCGTGCTAAGCTCCAGGGAGCGACAACAATCTCTGATTAAGTTTATTCTAAAAACGTTTCTGAAGTTTGGTTTAAATCCTCATTAAAACTTATAATTCATCGTGAACATGTAACAGTTGTTCAAGAACAAATATACAATTGTTTCTTTTTCAAAGCATTTTATTTAGACGACTGTAGATGGTATAAAAATATAAAACATTCCATTCAGGTAATTCAAAAGTTTATAAATATCTTTAAATAATAAAATATATATATAAATGTGTTTAAATTACTCAAAAATACAGTTTTATTGTTATCAAATCTAAATAATACATGAAAAAATATTTAAACTAATAACAGCCACAATGGACTGGAATAATTAAAAAATGTAAAAAATAAATATATAGGAAAATAAATTCTTTAAATAAAAACCAATAAATAATGAATAGACAACTAGATGTAAAAAATGACAAAAAAAGCAATAATGCTGCATGTGAGAGGTAGATCAGGGTCCAGTTGTCAGTTTCTGGTGAGTAAAGATGAGACCAGATGGTCTGCTCTGATCAGATGAGCTTTGATTTCCCTCCTGATCAGCTCCCAGGCTTCAGCGCTGTGGCCCTGCACACACCACAGGGTCATCAGCATCACTGCTACTACTACTATGTTTAAACCTCAGAAGGAAAAAAGACTCACCATTTTCTTCAGGATGTGGTGTGACAGTCTCTTAAAATACATGTGCAGCTTTGTGTTCTTCTTCTTGATGTGGCCCTGACCTCCAACCTGAATTCATTCCAAAAGGAAACGTTTTCTCATCAAAACATAATTTGCAAACAAACTCAACATAAACAAAAAAAAATGTATTCTTGCCAAAGTGTCAGTGAAAGTGGACCTACGCAGGAGTGGAGCTCATCAGCCAGTTGGGTGATGACACTGAGAAAGTTCTCCTCTGTGGTCTCCTCCCAAGATGAAGGGCTGTGGTCCTCCTCAAACAGGGAGGACACCTCCTTCAGAATCTGGACCACGAATGCTACTTTATCCTCCGCCTGGAGCAGAAAGATTATTGATTAAAGTTTCCTAATTCCACTGACCCACATTCAGCTTTTCCATGGACAGAAATGAGACTGACTCACTGAAGCTTTGGAGGCCTGGTGGTACAGATGATGAGGGAAGCCTACAGTGTTCTCCTCAGCCTCAGTGCTGTTAGTGGCGTTATTAGCCTGCAGCACACACACACACACAACACATCAGCTGTTGTATTCAACAATGACGTCACCAGAATGTAAACATGTTACCAAGAGTCCACTCACCATCATATCCAGCAGGTCTAAGGATGTTCCACTGAACTGACTGAATTTTTGATCCATCCACCTGCAGCTCAGAGAGGAGCATGCGCTGTACAGACCCAGACACACACAGGCAAACAAAACCCTGCTCAGCATTTTTAATAAGAGTGTGTAAAAATCTTCTTCAGTAGGAAGCAAACTCTTCAGATGTCTTTGGATGTTCTGCTGGAGCTGACCTGCAGCAGCTCTTATAAAGCTGAGACACATTTTTCATTTTCTAAACACCTGGAAAACACCAGGTCATAAACTATTGTATCTTAGACTTAAGACTTAAGATTTGAAAGACAGTTTTATATAAAATATATATATACAATAAAAACATTTTAATAAATACAATGTTTTTAATTAAACTTTAATTGAGGTTTAAATTCAAGCCAACGCCAAATAATAATATTATAACGCATTTGAATCAATTAAATAGGCTAGTGAGTCCGAAAGAATTAAGATAACATAACATTCACCACGTTTTAAAAACTTAATTAGCATTACAATAGTAATAAATCTGATTAGTTATTTGAATAACCTGTGATTCAACATGATGTAACCTTCTGGAATGTCACTGTTGCGCTGCCCACATCAGGGAAAGTGAAAACGCGCGTGCCCGAGTTCACCACTGTCACGAACTGAACTTTCACCTTGCAACAGGAAAGGTTGAAGGCTTTACAAATGACGCAACTACTTTATTGGTAGGCCATTCACTCGCAGCATACACTTCAGTAGCTAAATTATTCCTGTGTTTTATAGTGGTTGGTGTGTTTATTCTGGAAGATGAGTCTCACATAATCATGGTTAATGTAAGCTTATCCAGACAATATGATTTTTAAGTAAAGTAAATATACATAGCTGTTGAAAAATATATTGTTCTCAAATTAGTTTAATTTCCTTATGCCCTTTTATTTATTTTATTTTTACCATTCCTTGAAAACCCTGTTGTTTAGTCACGTTGTTTTATTTTTTTGCAATAATGATAACATATTTTACATTGAGGGATGATTTAAAACGTGAGAAGGAGTGGAAGTAAAACTCACCGGACTGTTTTTATTCTTATACAGAACACTAGTGTTTATTTGCGAAGTTCTCACCTCAAGAAAAGAAGCAACATGATTCTCTGTATTATTATAATTTCATTTTGCGTATTTCTCAATTCTAATTTTGCTTATCATTAATTTTTTTCTTGCACCAATTACCGCAACAGTTTCCTAATGTTGTGATTCTCGCACAGATGTCAATAAAACCTTCTGATTCTGACTCTGAACAGCGTCGCTCGCGTGCTGCCTTTAGGTACAGCTCGTAAGCGCGAACTGTTGTCATCTCTACACGTTTATTACTTAACGCAGCTTGAACAACACAGTTCGCTTTTCTTGGTAAAATATTTGAGCTATGTTTGTTGCGTTTTAATATAAAGAGTTTACAAAATTCTTTACGAATAAATGTTACATACAGCGTTGTACCTGGGCTGCCAGTGGTGGACATATACTAACAGATTTACGACACGACATAACAGTAAATGTTAGAATGTGATTAGAGCTCGTATGCGACTAAAACATATTTTCCTCCGTAAAATCGCCGACCCTTGGCCCTTCTTATGTTTTATACGATGTTTGTGGTGTAACGTGAAGGCATCACAAGTATTCTACTTCCCATGATGCACCGCTCTTCAGTAAGACAAGAATCCAGCTCGAGTTTCCAACTTGCTTCTAAGTTTTGGAGATTTTTTTGTGTTTCGGGCGTTCTAATAGAAGTCATGGAGAGCGATTGTACGGACTGAAATATTTTTTATTTCAGCTCACCGAGTTTAGAAGAATTCACGGAGGATACGCGATCGTTTTAGCAGATTTTTAACAGGTTAGCCAGCCTGTTTCGGTAAGGAAGCAACTGATGCTAAAAGATAACGTTGGTTTGTGCTCTAAAATCTAACACTCACAGCACGCTATTTGTAATTCACGGATGTTATTTGTGTTGTCCAAACGCAGCACTGATTTATTTATTTTCTTTGTGGTTTAATGCTCCCACATCTAAAAGCAAAGATTTAAAGTGACAGTCGTAGAAATCAGTTTTAATATGTGTATGTGGCGTGGTCTAAAAACTAACACCACATGCTCACCATGTGCAAAACTTGTATATAGTTATAGCTGGTAGTACAATTCAGATGTGATCTTCAGGTAGTTTTATTTATTGATTATATAGCTGCATGATTTGATCTCCAATGGCTCTCATTTGATTAGAGGAAGTTATTTCTGAAACGTTTCTACCTACTTCCCTGCAGACGGCTTGTTTTATCAGTGTCTCACATGACTCGATTACTCAGTGGTTACTCGCAGAAACCATGATGCTGCAAATATGTCACAGTGTAGATTCTCGTGATGAGGAAAAACAATCATATGCTGGGAAGTGAAGTCAAGAATGAAGATCCAGCCGGTTTAGGAGCACAAAAGGCTTGCATTGCTTATTCTTTCAGTCTGGATACCAGATGACATTTCAAACGCCATAGTAGCAGAGAGCTGCTTTATAACATTCTCTGTGTCAAGGGAATAACTCTGTATGTGTTTTAGGGTGCTATGTGGACGTAAGCCTTCCTTAGAAGTGCCATGCTCGCCACACAGATGCCAGAAACACCACTAGAGGCCAAAGATACCAAACAGGTAAGATCACAAGCAAGCTTTGTGATATGTAGACTTTACTTATGTGTTGTTGTTTGCACTCTTGTGAAATGATACGGACACTTAAAGCAGGCTTGTTCTGGTTTTGTCCCATTGATCTGTCCTCGACAGAGTTTAGCAAACCTTCACTAACCTCAGCTTGGTCAGAGCAGAGCTCGTTTTTAAGGGATTTTTACTTTTAAATTAACAGCAGAAGATGTAAAAATAAGCGGGGTAATTATTTATTATGGAAAAGAGATCATATTTGCAATTACATTCTGTCAATTCAGCAAAGAGTTAGACCAACCTTGGTTCTTCCTACCGACCTATTTGCATAAATCTACCACTAAACATTCATATTTGCTGAATTTTAATGGTATTGTTAGTAGATACATCTGTAATGGGTAGTTTAGGCGTTCCGAAGTGAACCAGTGTTTGATGTTATTAGTTGTAATATTAGAAAACATAAATTAGAAGACGGAAAAGAGACTTATACAGTTCATGTTTACAGCCAGTAAAATGACCCCTCCCCTCACAAACCTGCTCCACAACTCGCGTGCATTAGTGGCATTCCTTTAAAAAGTATTTGTTTCGTTTGACATAATAAGGGCCTGAGAGGACTCTAAAAGGTTATTCCTGTTAAAAATTAATTTTTAATATATTTTGTTTTATCTATAAACTGAACAGATGCAGAATGAATATTGCCTGAAAAACATATTTGTGTTTAAATTAAATAAAATAGTCGTTTTATTAGCACATTAATGACAATAAAAAAGACGTGGAAAGGCTAGAAGCCAAATGGGAGAAGTTGGTAAATGGCCTGTATTTGTCTAGCGCCTTCTCGGGGTTCTACAACCCTCAAAGGTGCTTCACAACACAATCAGCCATTTACACATTCACACACCGGTGGGAATGAGCTATGATGTAGCCACAGCTGTACACAGGCCCCATCGGTCCCTCCGACCACCACCAGCAAGGACCCTTGCCCAAAGACACAACAGCAGCAGTCTCTGGTCAGAGCCGGGATCGATCCTGTAACCTTCCAGTTACTGGACAACCCGTTCTACCGCCTGAGTTACTGCTGCCCCCAGTTGTTCAAATAAAATAGTTTTTTTTAAATAAACGGAATAAAATACTTAAGCTGACTAATGAATTATGTTCTAATTGATTTTCCTCTTCTTTTACTTCACATGATTTATAATGATCAGTTGAGGAAAGCAAATAACAGTAAAAAAAATAGTAACAAAAAACCATGGATATGCCTTTAAAAACCATAGTCTGCAGTGCATTTACTTTTGTTTTGATGCAGTTAACTCTAGGTTTAGACTGAAGTTTACTATGCACTACCATATTTATGTTTTTTGTGGTAAAAGCAGACATATTACAGGCGTTAGAGCTGTTTATTAGATTTATAGCTCGGTTTTGTTCACCATACACAGAAAAACTGTTCTTCAGAGTTCAGCTCTTTTCAAAGTGTCCGTTGTTGCTCAACGAATCAACTTATTTTCCACAAGATGTTGCACAATGAAGCTTTGTTTTTTATGGATTTATGGTATTTTTATTATTTTTTTACCATCTTTATCAGCTGATGGAGGATAGCATGTGACGGTAGGTGGATAATCTGCTGGTTGTGTTTCATAATGGAGCAGCTTTCTCTTTTACCCTACATCTTTGTCATCACACCATGCCCTGGAATGCCAAACGTGTGCTGGGTGTTTACTTACCAGCGCATCAAGATTAGTTTCTTGTTTACACATATACAGCTCTTATTTTTGAATATATGATTTTTTTAAATAGTATTTTGTTTCCTCCTTTTAGATTAAAGAGAGGTTGGCACAGTCTCTCAAGGCCCTGCAGAAACGTTACATAACATCGGATGCTGTGGTTACCAGTGACGATGGGGATGCTAACCTCCTCTGCTGTGCCCTGGAGGCCATCTTCATCCATGGAATCAAGAGTAAATGCATCCGCTCTGAAGCTGGAGGCCGGAGCAGGAAGGGCGATCGAGGCCCCCTCCCTCAGCCTTTTTTCTGGAGCCTTCTTAAGACCGTCACTCACCGGTAGGTTGGAACAGATCGCAGCAGCATTACTTGGTTATTTTTTAACACAGAAAATGTTGTTTTACCTATTTTTAATTTATTTTTAAAACCAAATAATGCAGTTAGAAGAAACGCACAGGATGAACAAACAAAATATGTTAGAAAAAAAAAGATCACAGCAGATCTAAAACACCCTAAAAACTGATCAAAGTTGTAATCTGTGTTGTTCAACCTTGTTAAATGGGCAGAGACGTGATCACAGAGCTGGAGAAGATCAGTTTCCTCTGCACAGATGTGGGTCGCTGCCGAGCGTGGCTGCGCTTGGCACTCAACCACGGCCTGCTGGAGTGCTACCTCGCCTCTCTGTTTCGGGAGGACTCCAAGCTGCGCGCCCATTACCAACCCAGTGCCTTGCTTCTGAACGAAGAGGAGCGAGAAGTTCTGCTCAGCTACGTCCAGGGTCTAGCCTCGCTCACGTTTAACCTGTCTTACAAGTCAGCTGTTCTCAACGAATGGACCACCACCCCTCTGGCTCTTGCTGGACTGTGCCCCCTGTCTCAGGTGGAGGTACTTGCCCCGTCTGTTAATGGCGGAGACCATACTAACTTCAAGCCAACACGTAAAGAGTCATGGGACACAGCGTCCCAGTCATCAGGCTCGTCCGAGGCTGTGGACGTGCAGAAAGTCTGCCCGGTTGTGCCGTCAAAGACGACAGCAGAGTCACGAGAAGAAAGAACTGGACTTCACTCATCTAACTTAAGTCTGGACACGACAGGGTCCTCGCACCTGTCCTCCAGCTTGAGCTCTGATAGCCTTCTGCAGGGTCAGGACCCCCGCAGCCCCACAGGGGACCAGTGGTCGTCAGGTGACCTGGACGAATCCGTCAGCATCAGCACCAGAAGACTTCAGAAAGAGTACGTTGGTATTTATAATTCTGGAGTTGTTTCAAGCATTTAAAAGGGGGCAATTAAAGGAGATGTTTTATATTTTTTTGTCCCCACAAAACCCTTAAAATAACCAAAGAACAATTTTCTACATTTTTACGATTTTTTAACTTGTTTTTCTACATATTGGGCTTTTTATCCTAACACACCTTCTGTTGTTATTGTTAGTTATAAAATTCATCCTACACTGACTTTCCTGCTGAGGTAAACTAGACAGGGTCTCTAAACTCTGATTCAGGTATACTTTAAAATACTAGCTTTTTGTGAATTAAACTATTGCCCAACAGTTTCTGTTAAAAACAAGAACTGTAAAATAATCTGTGTTTTGTGAGCGTAGTGATGTTATAGAACGGGGTGTTCAAACTTTTCAAGGCGAGGGTCAAAGTCGTCACTGGAAAAAAAATGTAAATGGTTTATAATTTAAAAAAGTAAAACTAACTTTCTGATTCTGTTTGTTTACTTTAGTCCAAAATAGGCATATCAGTGTAAATCAGAAGAAAAAAAAAACGATAAAATTTCTCTTTAAGAGAAAAAACTCCACCGTTCTAGAAAAGCAATTGGGGGCCACAGAAAATCACTCCAAGGACCACAAATAGCCCCCGGGCCTCCCTTTGGACATGCCTGATATGAAGCATATTTACGGGGCCTGCAAACGCCACACCTGCTCCAAAATTACTTTTTACTTACAGTACTTTAATTTTAGCAACCATTTAGTTTCACACTCTGCCTAAAAGAGTAAAGATGCTAAATGTATTAAGATCATTCATTTTATACGTAGAAATACTCACAAGCAAATCCAGTGTCTCCTTTATGCTGTCATGTTTGTTAAAAACACATTTTAGAGAAATTTTTAGATTTTACAATAACTCAGGTCAGAAGGTTGTGACTATGGCAGCTAAATATTTATAAATCATTTATTTCCTCATTTTTAAACATATATTTTTTACCAAATTTTGAAATCTTTTTTATATTTTAATAGTTTTTTTGTGTTGTTGGTGAAGCACCTCGTGATTTTTATCTTGAGAGGCGTTATATAAAAGATTGTTTTCTATCTTTCTAAATATACTTACGAGCAATAGCTTTTTCATTTTTAAAGCATGTAATGTTAACATCTCTGCAGATGATTAAGGATTTTTAAGTCTTTTCTAGTAATGTTGTTTCTCAAAAGATGAGATGTGCACCACATATTTGACACAATCTACTAAACATAACAAGATTCATTAAAGTGACTCTACATATTTTATCTGTCTTTTCGACAGTTTACTGGTTGATTTCTGTGAGAGCGGTCAGTGCAGTCAGGACTCCATGCGAGAAGACTCGTTTGTCTCCAGCACAGGAGCTGATCCTTTCTCAGAGATTGCCAATTTCAGCAGTTCGTACAGCGAAATCCAAAGTCACCAGATGCCGTCCCAAGATTTGGTGGAGCGGCTCCCAAATTCCTTCATCCAGCTGCCAACAGCTGAGGAGCAAACTGAGATCCAGGGTGTAACCTCTGATTTACCATCAGAAACCGAGGTGGTCCCTTCAGTCAGCAAGCCCCTTCAGCCTACAGGGGAGCAGCAAGTGGCTGGTGTTCAGGAAACTGCAGAGCCGGTCCAGGAAATGAAGCAAGCAGACAATTTAAAGAAGCCCAACACAGAATTTCTGTCACGCAGAGCATCTCAGCGTTCTGTGACCATCGCTAGCAGGAAACTCTCCTTAGATTCACTGTCAGTAAGTATGAGAAAGACAAGTAGCATGCAGATTTTCTGGATTATACAGATGGGGTTCATGCACAATTGAGCATTCACTTGAATTGCTGCATGGATATTCCCACTAAGGAAATGTTAAACAGGATGCTACAGTGAATCCTGGAAATCATTGTGTTAACATTCCCGAAAAAGTGTGAAGTTCTGTCTCTCTTCTCTGCTTTAATTCTCTAAAGATGACCGTGAGCGCTTACAATAGTCTTTGGTTAATGTCAGATTGCCATCTCCAGCAAGTTAGAAATGAAGCAGTCTGTGGCGAGATGCTGGTGATAAAATAAAGTACAGAGAGTTTCTCTGCTTCACCTGCTCCAGAAGTCCAAGTCACGTTTTCTATTAGCATGTGATTTCCTAACGGGGACATCTGCAGGATGTGTTGAAACATTTTCCTCAAACCTTTCTTGCCAAACTCTGGCTATTCTGTTCAGGCTGGTTAAGATAACACGCGTTTCCTGCAAGAAATCAATTTTACTATTCCTGCTTTGTTGTATTTTCTGTGACCCTTAAAATGATCTTTAACAGTTTGTACATCAACATGGATGCATTTTATTTAAAAACGTCTCTTTTTGCAGCATTCTCATTCTTGGATTTCTGATGACGACATCTACAAGCCTGACCTGGAGCAAGTGTCAGACAGTGACGAAGTGTCTCCTGTTCCTATAGCTGAGCCCAGTCATTGTCAGTCCCCTCCTAGTGTTGTCCATCGCAGACAGATAGGTAATTTGCACTAATGTTTTCTTTATTTTTGTAATTCAAGTTCCACAAAACTAAACTACAACAATTACAAGCTCTGTTTAAGGGAAGAAGGACGTGGCTCATACCATTGTGACACATTGGAATTTTTTGCTAAATCCAGGGAAAACATTGAATAAAACGTTGACTTTTTTATTTTTTATTATTTGAATTTATTCATAAAGAAAAGATGAAAAAAATGTTTACTAATTCACATTTTAAGCTAATGAAATGGGAACAACAATTTTTAGTTTCACCCAAGTTTCAAAAACTTGCATTTATGACGCAAATCGAACCTTTCTGACGTGTGAAGCCTGGGGCACACCGGGCATCATTATAAATTGAAGCCATTATAGTAAATGAGAGTGGGCGCACGGGGAGCACCGTGCCACGTCCCAGAAGCGCCGCGCCATGTCTATCTTGAGCGCTGTGGCACTGTAGCTGTTTACAGCATTGTGGAGTACTACAACTGACATTACGACGCGGAACGGCTTTACGGCACAAACCCGCCCAGTTTTGATAACTTTAAAGTACTATTGATCTTAAAATATTCCAATAAATAGCGTAGTTAGCTATTTTTAATGAATTCAAGTCTCACAAAACACGACGGCAAGTCGGATCACGTGTAAACAATAGAGTCACTTCCCGCTTCTTGTTCTCAAGTCTCGCGTGATGTTGTGACTATCGTGCGACTTTCCAGGCTGCCTAATATCTTCGGCACTCATTTTATTTTTTTGAGGGCGGGAATAGCGATGCTGTTGTTGAATTTAAAGGAAGCGACATCCTAACCAATCACAGGCTTGCAGTCTCTGTCGCTTTTGAGCGACAGTTAAAAAATTGGGCTCGTCTCCGTCAGCGTCTGTGGGTCTGCTGCAGAGCCCTTGCGTCGACGCATGATGGCGTTGCGTGTCTCCATACCTGCTCAGGCATACAGTACGTTTACATGCAGCCAATATCCGGGTTATGATCGGTTTAAGGTCGGGATTCGGGTTTCTGAGTTGATCAGAATAACCCGTTTACAAGCATAAATAGAAAGAGTTACCTCTAACTTGCATAACCCGATTTAACTGCGGACGTTGGGGTAGCGTCAGGACGTATGGACTACGTCCAGACGCAATATGAGTCATTTCCGGTTCTTCTTGTTCCGGTATCCGTGAAAACAACAACATGTTTCCCAGTTCGGAAGAGATAGCGACCGCGTTTCTTTGCGCTTTAGTTTCTTCGTCACTCCAAAAGTGTGGTGCTGTGCCGCGACTCGCCATGTTGCTCCCAACTTGTTGTTTACTTCCGGAGTTCTGGTGCATACAAGACGTCTCGCTACTCAAAAGACCAAGATTCCTTGCGAACAGAGCATGCGCAGAACACACGCTTTGATGGGGATATCCCGGTATGCGTTTACACGACCAAACATTCGGGTTAGAAAAGGGTTACCCCAGGTGTAGTAACCGGGTTTTTAAAAACCCGGTTATGAGCATATCCGGGTTTTTGGCGGTGTTTACAAGGACCTGCAGAACCGGGTTATTGTGAATATTCGGGTTTTTAAAGGGTTACTGGCTGCATGTAAACACACTTATAGAGGTTCAAATCAGGATTCAGCTCATAGCAGCTGTATGGGGGATGGGTGGGCGTGGCCAGCTCCAGCTTATTTTCTTAAACTGGCAGAGCCCTGAAACGGCTCATTGTGGAAAGTACTGAAACTGTCAGTAATAAAACTAATGAACTGCTTTATGTGAGAGGGATTTGGCACAAAGAGCTTTAGGAAAAAATAAAATAAAATCAAAACATGTCCTCATTTTAAAGAAAAAAAACATTCAATGCCTAAATTCAAACTAAAGCTAGTAGATTAGCATTGAAGAAATTACTCTGGAAGAGGTTTTTGTTTTTTTCCTGACACTCTAAGCTTCCTTATGCTGAGTAGTTTAGCTTTCTAGGCCTTTTGTTCTCCAAGAACCAACTGACTGACTGACATCATGCTGACATATATAAAGTTTGTGTCGATGATGACTGGTAAACTTTTAAAATTGCAAAAAAAAGTTTGACTCCTTACAGTCAGAATACTTAACATAGGAAGTGCCGTTTTAGTAAAACATGCTCATGAGTTTAAAGGTGGTTGACGGAAAATAGACCAAGTGAGTGGAGATAGTCACCTGGGAATTTCTACCATATGAAAGAGTTTTAAGTGCAGCAACACAAAGACTAAATGTAACCCTCTCCAGGTTTAGAAACTGTGGAATGAGCCACAACCTGAATGGAGTTATTCCAGCAGGTGATTCCCTTTCATGTCTTAAATTAGAAAGGAACTTTTCTTACACAACGTGGGTGTGGCCGGTTTATAGTCAAATGTAATCTTGGAAGACGTCACCTGGGTGCAGTGTTGCCAGATCCAAAATCCCACAATATCGTACAGAGAGGCTGAAATTATCGTTTTTCAGTACAAATTATCGTACATTATAAATTTGATAATAACGTTCTATAAACGACTTCTCACTCCAATATAATATAACAAAGAAGGTATTTTATATTGCCCTGTTTAAATAAACATCTTTAAAACCAGTAATATAATGCTTATAAACGTGCAGAGTGTGTCGGCACCACTCCGACCTCCACGCATTGACACAATATGCACATTTGCACAGTCCTATTTATGTCATTTCTACATAGGTTAAAAGCATGCAACAAAACATCACAGCAGTGGAAAAACTGACCCAATAAATGACACAGCAGCCTACTCACCCAGTTGCTGATCTCGATCTCCTCATCTGATTCACTGTCTGTCACAGCAGAATGCCTTTAATCACCTGTACTAAGTGGTCTGTGCTTCTCATTGCAATGTTGTGCTGGGCTAAAAAGCCACATAGCTTGATTTCAGCGTTTTTCACATCATTTTCAAACTTCTCTTTTTCATTAGTTTGTAGGAGACATTTATAAACCTGTAAGCACTGAGGTGAAATCTGACTTCAGAACAGTTTAAAATTATGTAATTGACTTGGGAAAGCCACAGCAAAAGATGGTGTTACTAGATGCAATGTGAAATTATCGTACATTTGAAGATTTTTGAAACTATTGATCGTACATCGTACAGAGCCCAAAATTATGGTACAAATACGATAATTATCGTACATCTGGCAACACTGCCTGGGTGATTCGGTCGCTCCGTCAGCTGTGGAATCAACATGACAGGAAGTGTGATAAGAGAAGGATGATGAGGAGTTTGTGGTGTTATTGCAGTGAAGTAAGCGGAACAGTTTTTTTTTTTTTGCTATAATCATGAAGACAGCATTACGTTAGGAGCAGCTGCATGAAGTAATCTTCACTTTGAATTCCTAAACTAATTGAATCCTCCTTTATGTGGCTACTTTGTTCCTCAAAAGCCAGTTGCTTTAAAAAGTGAAAACATGAATAAGTTAGTTTTGTTTTGCGTCTGACAGGGCTGTCCAACCCCTTTCGAGGCTTGCTGAAGCTTGGTCACCTGGAACGACGGAGTGCGATGGCAATTTGGCGTGACTACTACTGCGAACTCTCCCCCTTTGAGTTCCGTCTGTATCTGAACGCTGAGGAGCGGACATGCTGCGACAACTGCTCCCTGCTGAGGTGCGAAGACGTTCGAATCTCATCAGAAGGTCGCTTTGAGTTGATCTTTTCTGGAAAGCGGCTTTATCTCCGAGCAGCCAATCGCGACGAAGCTGAAGACTGGGTGGACCGCATCGTAGAAGCTGTGAACAAATGCAGGCCTGCGGCTCATGCTGACGAGCAGTGGGAAGTGCTTCAGTCCTTGAGGGAAAACGGAGTGGATGAGCGCGCGCTTTCCTCTCCGTCCTCTGCTTCCTCCAGCCCTGAGCGACACTTCTCTTCCTCTGACACAAACGGCCGACAGCAGGCCGCTTCCCCTCAGGAGTTCATCTGGACTCGCACTACAGAACTGGAAACCGATGCTCTCAAAGAAGCAGTCTTGTATTTCTCCACAGATTCTGAGGCCAGAACATGGAGACCTCTGGTCTTTTCCCTCTCCTTGGAGGCTCTGAAAAGCTTCCGGGTGCAAGAGGGAAAGAAGTTGCTGTGGCTAACTCATCCCATTGAGGAGATCCGGGATGTTGTTCCTGATGTCTCCCAGGGCGGAGCAGCATTTTTCAAAGTCCTGACTGTGAAAGAGTCTTTGAGATTAAGGGCAGAAAACTCAGAGGAAGCCCGCTCCTGGAGGGATCTGATCCGGGGAGCTTTGGACTCGTACTTGGAAAGTGGGGAGGACGGACATCCTGAGGAGCCTGCACCAGTTTGGAGCACTGGAGTGACTGGTAATCTGCACAGGCTGGTGCAACACAGACTAAAGGAAGATGGAGCTTTTCTGGTTCATCTTTACACAGTTCCCTCAGAGAAGGGCTTGGACACACAGAACTTCAAGTGTGCAGGTTTGTATCTAAACCCATGTCTTCTGCTTTAGCTACAGTCGTAAACCAATGACATCATCTCTCATCATCACACACTCTGAACTGATGAGACAAAATGTGATTTGTTTGTAGCCGAGTCATTCACAACAAATGCTAAGAGTTCTTACAAATCGGACCTGATTTAGCAAAATTGTGTGTGAATGCCTGTTATCGTCAAGATTCTCAACCATGGGACGATTTCAGTTTAAAACTCGGGCATAGCTGAAATACACTGGTAATAGGAATGACTGGCCTTCAATATAAAAAACAATGTTACTTTTCAAGAGTATTAAAATCAGATAAACACCATAAGATGAGAAGCTGCGCCCGAGTCCTTAACATTAATATAAGGTGCCTGTTTTGGACCACTAAATATTTAAACTGTTGCCAGTGAGTCACTTTTTAGCGAGAGGTAAAAATGTAACTGAATTCTGTTTGGTTCCTTTGACTTCTGAAAGGCATGTGTAGCTGACGGTAAGATGTTTCCTCTGGAACTGGAAGGTTTTTGGGATCGGGTCTGGAAACTAAACAAAACCAGTTGTTTCTTAAACTAAGAAGAACGACTCAGTTGTGTTTGGGCTGATGCTTCGTTAATAGCCACAGTCATTCTAACACAGAGACACGGTTGTGGTCTATAACAAATTAGTGATGTATGGGTATCAATGGGCCCGTGCGGTTCGTTACTGGTGTGTCTGAGAGGACATGAATCATGCGTGTCATTCACAGGCTGTCCTCAGCAGATCGGCCCCTCGCTGGGCAAAGCCAGGTTATGTGAGTTCTCAGGACAGTACTACTGTGACAACTGCCACAAGGGGGACACCACCATCATTCCCTCCCGGATGCTGCACAACTGGGATCTCACACACCGAGAGGTACAGTAAGAGCTACATCACTTTAGTCCACGCAGATAGGATCTTATGAGGAAAAAGGAATGACAGTTTTGTGGCTTGTCTACAGTGATGCTAAAAATCCTTTTGCAGGGGGTTTGCACAAATTCAGTGTGATTCCAAAAGCATTTTGGCCCATTTTACAGGGATTTTGTCTCTAGTCATCAGGATTCTCAGACCACGGAGATCATGACCTGACTGCCGCATTTCCCAAGTTACAGTCTGAAACTGCTGTGAGCTGTAATCCAGCTTTAATCAGGATTATTGTCACCATCCTAAGATCACATTGTGTTCTCCTGAGCCAAGCCAACTTTATTTATAAAGGCTTTGAAAACAGACGGCACTGACCAAAGTGGAGAACATGAAAGGCATAAAATATGTTTGAAGTGAAATAAGGTAGGATACAAGGAAAATGGGCTAAAAATGCAAAATGGCAATACAGTCAAATAGTTGTATGGAGAGCCAAGGACATTTAAATGATTCAGTGAGGAGGCTTTTCTAAGATGCGCTCACAAAAAATTCCAGATTTTTGAAGCTGCAACAGCGAAGGCCCTTATCTCCTCTCTGCTAATGCAGGGTTCTCGGCACGTTCAGGACCAGCTGATCACGACCCAAGGAGGGGAGTGTAGGGGAAAACTGGGGCAACACCATTTAAGGATGTGTCAAGTTGTAACAGAAGCAAACTGCTGTTCTAACATTCTTAGTTGACATGGTATTTTTGTCTTTTCCACTTGTCTCGAATAACAAAAGCTGAGCTTGATAACAGTCCTCATTTGACTGTCCATCTTAAAATAACCTGATTTAGAACCCAAATTGGTTACTATTGGCTTACCATATGGCACCAGAAGACCCAAGTCAGTGGACACTGGTATGACTGCTATGACCAGGGCCCACTGGTCATAGCACTATCAAAGACAAACCTTTCTTTGTTTTAAACTTAAAAACCATCAAAGGTTTTAAACAGTATTTTAATGTTTTGGTCACCCTTTTATTTCAGGGTTCATCTGTGTATATTCTTCATAACAGTGAAATCTTTTTTAAAATGGACCCTAAAACCTACAAACATTAAGTGGCAAGGAGGAAAAACAAGGGCCCCGGGCGTGATTCGATTCCCGGACTCCGGGGTGAGAGTCGCATGTGCTAACCAGTCAGCCAAGTGGACATCCCCATGATCAAGTAGCTAGGGCGCATGATCCAGCTGATCCAGCATAATCAATTGGGATGCGGTGACTAGACACTCACCCTGTCACATTAAAAAGGCCAAGGACCATGAACTGAGCCCTGTGGAACCCCTCGTGATGAAAAAACCCCAAAAAGGAATAGAAGTTGTTTAAACTGACACAGAAAGGTGTCTGCTTTTATGACATTCCAGTTAAAACAGAGCTCTAATGGGATTTTAAATGATTATGGTCCACTCTGTCAAAGGCAGCAGTCAAATCTAAAAGTATCTGGAGTCTGTAGTAAGGAGAATTTCATTAAAACACCCAACAAAGCAGAGTTCTATGAACAGACTTAAATCATAACTGAAAAACCAAAATCATCATCTAACAAACCTGAGTGTTTGTGTTTCTGTCTAGGTGTCAAAGAGAGCTCTTCGTCTGTTGGCTCAAGTAGAACAGGAACCTCTGCTTAACCTGGAGCAGCTGAACCCTGAGCTGGTGACACACTCGGAGTCCATGACTCAGGCCCACACTCTGAGAGAGAAGCTGCGTCTCCTGGGCGACTACCTGCTCTCCTGCCGCAGCGGAGCCTGCAAGAAACTCCAAGCAAGGTGTGTTTGTTGTTCGAATGGGGTATCTGCGGAGATTTCTCCACTTAACTGCACTGTGCATCACGAAAGAGGTCAGGAGCCCCATGATAATTAGCTGCTTTCTGTTTTGATGTCATGGTTTTTTCCACATCTTTCCAGAATGGGCCAGCGAACATATCTGCTAGAGTCGAGCCATCTTTACAGCGTCATGGATCTAAGACAGGTACTTTTCTGACTCTCTGATGTAGCAACAATCAGCTGCTGTACCATAGAAAAGAAATCTGAATTTTTTTTCATTTTGTGTGTTTTATAGATAGCAGAGAGCCAATATGCAATCTTCCTTGTCCCACTGGTGCAGCACGCCTCTAATCACGTGCTGAATTGTGACTTGTGCACTCAGCGTGGCTACATCTGCCAGATATGTCACTCCGAAGATATCATCTTTCCCTTTCAGTTCGAAAGCATTATCAGGTATAATCTCATAATCCCATTTTTTGGTGCCTTATTTCCTTTTGTTTTGGTTATATTTTTTAAGATTGTCACTTTGTTATGTCTGTTTAAATAGTTCCTTTGTAGCAGGAAGTAAATCAAGTACCCAGTAAAAAACTGGCACGTTAACTTTGCTGCTGTTGTAGTTAGTTTGCTCATTTCACAAATAAACAAATAAGTAAATGGGATTTATAACAATTTATTTATACACATGGCTGATTAAATTTGGAGCAAACACACACATTTTTGTAGCATTAAAAAAATACTTACTTTGGGAAATAGAGTTTTTTATTTCTCTAGTTTATGTTTGGTGTCTGGATTATCTCACTGTATATGAAGTGACTTGGACAAAACGAAAGGTTTACAAAAATATTTTAAATCTGGTCTAGCATTTGTAAGAGAAGTTGTTGTTTCTACTGGTAAAATGGATAAAAATTCCTCTTAATCTGTTTTTTATTTCCGTCCTTGTTTCTGAGCAGGTGCACAGCCTGTAAAGCCGTATTCCACCGGTCCTGCAAGTCCACCACTGATTCTTGTCCACGCTGTCAAAGAATGAAGAAGTACCTGGAGAGGAATCTGCAAGAATGAGAACTGAAGCTGGCTGCAAAACTCCACCTCTTTCAGGATGTTTGACATCTGTTAGAGGAAAGGATTCACAAGACGTAACCAATTATGCAATTATGAGAGCGATCAGCGTGAGCAAACCTAAAAAACGAATAGAAGGGAGCCTCAGTGCCACAGTAGCTAGACCTTTGCACTGATTCGAAGGTGCACACACTTGACACGATGCAGCCAAATGTTACTGCGTGGAGATTTCATTACCTCTACAAATATCAAGCCACGGCATCAAAACAAAGACAGGACAGTGGGCGATTGTAAACAACACACGTTTACATTGTTGTTCATTATTTAGTGTCTGATTCTCCTCGGTCATGTCTACCATGCATGCTTCTTATTCTGTATTTACCTTAATGTCAAGGAACTTGTAAATAATAGAAAAAGCTCTTTATCAAATTCACTGATTTTGATTGTGCCTTTTTAAAACTGTTGTCCCATGATTTATTCTCACAGTTTAAAAAAAACTCACGACAAATCTGTTTGTTTTATTAACCAATAAAATAAACGACACAGAAGCGTTACATTTTTAGGTTTTGTATAAATATGAGTGCTGCAAAATTTCTATCTGCTGCGTGTACGGAAGGACGCGCGTTCAAAGAAAAGAGGTTTGCAAATTAAGATTCGGGTTAGTTAATTTTGTTGGATCTAAGGTGAAAATAGATGATGTGTATTTGCACTATACAGATAAATGGCTCAATTGTAGCTTTACTATTTCCCAAGAAAACTAATGATTTATGAAAACTTGCTTTTTATTCCTCTTTTTTTTGTTTATCTTTTTTTTGTTTTTATCAATAATTGTTTGGTTATCATTAATTATTTGTGGAAACTGTCAACAATAAAAGCATTACATGTTTAATAATTTCATTTTGATCTATGCACAGCATATGGCATTTAGAAGGCACATTCTGCAGTACTGTTATTCTTGATGTGTACTCGTTTTATCTTAAAGGGTCAAATTGAAATAAATATTGGAGTGTTGAATTTGGTTCTGTTTTTATTTAAGGAATAAATCTGGCCAGTTGTGTTTTGGACACTTGGGTGAAGATAGGAGTGGTGTGAGACGTGACGATAACCCTCAGATTCGCTGATGGACACCAGAGGGTTAGGGAAGGCTTCAGGCTGAAGAAGGAGGCCTACAGGGCATTGTTGGTCTGTGGGTCTCCACCATCGGTCTCCACAAGGAGCTGACTAGTACTTGAGAGTCAGGTGATGTTGCTGAGATAACGTTTTAGGCATAGGAAGAGTTTGACTACTGCTCAGCTCTGAGGAGGTTCTGGCAAACTATCAGATGTCTCGGGGGTGGCAATACACGTTTAAAGTGGGATTTAGCTACTGGGGATGTGGTTGGGTTGTGGAAAGAATACAAGAAGCTCCTCAACTCCACTGACATATCCCAGAGTGGAACCAGAGACGGGAATCTAAGGATGGACCAGTCAATCTGAAGCAGAAGATGCTGAGTAATCAAACTACAGTGTGGCTGTGCTCTGTAGGGTTACTTCAAGGATACTGATCTTGTTTGTATTTATTTATTTGGCAGTGACTTCTAATTTATAACCAAAGGGCATGTTGTGATCCGTGGGGGAAACCGGAGTACCCGGAGGAAACCCACGCATGCATGGGGAAAACACGCAACTCCACGCAGAAAGGCCGCGGCCGAGTTTCGAACCTGCAACCTTCGTGCTGCGAGGCAACAGCTTGAAGAGAGAGATGAGACTCAAAGCTATAGGTCATATGCTGCTATTCTTCAGCAGATCCTTTGCTTTTCGCACTTGTCGAGGATTGCACTTATTTTTTTGTTTGTTTCCTTTATTTCCAACAGGAACTCAGGATAAAAAGATGACCTTATTTAATTCAGTTCATAGTTATCTGAAATAGTAACATTCAGATGTGAGATTTTATAACAGGGGGAGAAATTAGTGTCCTCCTGAGTAAGTTGTGTAGTTTTATTATTTCCAATTAAAAAAAGGTTTGTTTTTCATCAAACCCACAGGTGCTGCTGATCAGGTTGGCTTTGTCTCTACAAGTGGTGTCAGCTGTTGAGAGTTAAAAGGGTGAAAAGATGTTGGCTTATTTGCACAATAGTTTGATATATTCATATACATTTTTACTAGTGAAATCAAAATTCATTCATCTTTATTTTATTGGAGCTGCAGCTGCCCCAGTGCTTCCTCCTGCAGAGGTATAAAGCCTTCCTGCTGATGGGAGGAGTAACACCGGAGCGCAAGCCTGAAAAACTCGTTTAATCCAGTCTGCTTTCCTGTCAGCCGGAGCGCCAGGTGGGCCGGGTGTTTCTCTGAGCTCTCTCCGGACACCATCCTCGTTTTTAACCTGGTTTTATTGGTGCGTTGGTGCGCAGCTGAGCAGGACGCCCGAGACACTGCGCCGAGTCTGGGATGGCTGCTGACCGGAGAGACGCTCCTGAGAGCCGGCTGGAGAGGAGCAGCCACACGGCGTTCATCCACAACAACACGCTGTACGTGTGGGGGGGCTATCAGGTGAGACTGTCCCATCGGCGCATGCTGCGCCTGATTATTCTAAATGAAAGGTGACGCTATTTGTGAAAGTCAACTCTGTAAAGCTACAATGCAAATTCAGCTTGAAAAACTCCAACCATATCTGAAAGGAGTTAAGAGATGTTTCTGGTTCCTTTGATGGTGAAACTTGGTCCATTCATCCATGGATGTTCTTGTCTGGGTTCTCCCTAATGGTTAAACAAACTCAAACCACCCATCAGATTCGAAGATGTTGCACAGGAGAAGGAAGTATCTATTCACCCATTTTTAATGAGATCCTTACATTTTTACCAAAGTCCTTATTTTCATGCCAGCTATATTGAATAACAATTTCAGCATTTATATTCAGCTTTATTTAGCTGATTTCAGTTATTTGTGATGGGCTTTCCAAAAACTTTTTTAAATGTATGTTTGACAATAAACAAACAGGGAAGCAATCTGACTGGGTAAGAGTGGAATACAAGAGCAGGGGGGAAAGAATAATGTAATGTGAGAAGTGTGGAGAGAAAACTGCTGTTAAAATGCTAAACGTGACCAACTGTAGCAGCTCATGTACCACTGTTTATTCAGCACATCACAAGGGCTACCTCTACAGATGGTATAGAATAACTTCAGTTAAATGACAACCGACTTCATAAGGACACTTTTTTGATGAACTTGATCTTTATAGTCATGTTTCAACTTCACTGGTTAAATATTCCTTTAAAATTAAATTTGCAGGCTTCAATTGGCTTTAAATGATCAGACTGTTTAATTGCTAATTAAACATCTCCGTAGATGAAACGGAGAAACTGATCAGATAAAGTGAAGATACAGTTGGCCTTGAACTGAAGGGGAAACAAGCAGCAAAACACACTGTTGCTGTACTTCACTTCAGGGACGTACCGCATACTTAAAACGGTCAAAAAAATAAAATCTGAACATTTGGGTTTTTTTGAACTGGTACACTTTGGAGCCATGCGTTTTCAAAGAGTTTGCAGCAACATGTTTCAACAAGAAAACACTCTTAAAACAATATTATAAGCTGACTTTTGGTGCACGAATGGTCTGTTGGATGATGTTTCCTCTGCTTTTTGTTTCTCTGCAGGTAGCTGCTGGTCAGGATGTCATACTGCCCAGCGAGGAGATATGGCTGTGTGATTTAGACAGCGGGAAATGGTAAGCTACGATAGGAGGAGGCTGTTTATCAAAATGAAAGCTGTGTCACCTTGACATCTAAGTTAGGAATGCAGGCCCGGGGTGTGTGTGTGTGTGCGCATTCTGATTAAAATAATTAAAAAAACACACAGGGAGAAGAGACACAAGGTTTGATTACGAAGGCAGGGATTGTTTCATTAATGTTTATAAGTTGGAGTAATCTGTCATGGTCCAGATACCAGCAGTTTTGCTTAATTTGCCTCTTTTTTTTTTCTTTTTTTTTCTTTTCAAAACAGGGAACATAAGGAGATAACTGGAGATGTTCCTTCAGACTTGTCAGGTTTCTGTGGCTCTAATATTAACAGCCAGCTCTTCATCTTTGGAGGATGTGACTCTGCAGGATACTCAAACCAGGTGATCACCCATTGCCTTCTCAAGTGGCCTAGCGGTATGAGTGTAGTCGGCATTAAAATCCCAGTTGGGTCATGACAAAGACTTTAAAAATGGGACCCAATACCTCCCTGCTTGACACTCAAGGGGTTGGTGGTGGTGGTGGTGGGGGGGGGGGGGGGGTCCTGAGTGCATCCACTGCAGCTCACTGCTCCCCATGAGAATGAGTCAAATGTGGAGATGTTATTTCACCAGTGTGTGTGGTGAGTAATGGTTTTTAACTTAATTCTAGCATACGGTAGATTTTATTTATTTTTTAGGGATGCACCACAAAATGAGCTGATGGTCAGAATCTGACACGTGCAGCTTGTCTGATGGCTTCCCGGTGGAACGCACTGTTACAGAACTCGTTACAATGAGCTACTGGAAAAGATTTTCCATGTGGATTTTCACCTGCAGAATTTTATTATTTGATCATGAATCAAACATTTTTTTATTATCTCTTCACGGCTTTTAGATTTTTTTTTCCCCAAATTCTTTTCAGATCAATGTCAGTCGTAAGGGCATCCGTTTGTTTTGTACAACATGGACCAACAATTTCTCAATCCAGTTTAAAAAATAAATAAATACAGCGGAAAACTTAAACTGATCTTAATCATCTTGAATTTTGGAGTAAATATATTAAGCCACCACATTTATTCACCCCTGGTGAACACTAAGTGGCTTCAGCTCAGTGAGCTAAAATTTGATTTCACTCCGGCAAAGCCATCGCCCCAAAACATGACTGCTACCAGATCACCCTCGTTCTTAGTTAAAAACTTTATCGTTGTTTGAGTCAACTCTATATGTAAATATCAAGAACCACTAAATTCTAACAAACCTTAGTCAGTTGTAGATCAACCTTCAATAAAGATTTGGTCAACCCTGTTCAAGATCATATTTATAGCTAAATCGACAAATAAATAAAAAATGGGGAAAAACTAGTTCAGTTTTATTGAGCTAAATGTTTGCGTTAAAAGCCGAGTCTACCCTGAATGAATTCTCAGCCTTTATTTAACTCAAATCTATGCAATTGCTTGTCTAGTTCAGCTAATCCTGCAGGAATGTATGATGCAACTTGTTAAAGTGGTTTCAAATCTTTGGGTTGAAATTCTGAAAACTAATCGGGATAAGTTGTAATACTATTTCAAAACCCGTAGATTAAAATTAAGCATTAGCTCCAGACTTCTACACTGTTGGTAGCATCGGGTCTACTTTAGTAAATAATCCCAGCCTTTAAAGACTCTTAATCTGGTGTTCTAAAGCAAGCATTAGTTTTTGTGTATTTCCAGTTTTTATTGAGAGCTGCTTGCTGACCTTTCACCTACTAGCTTTGTTTTTGTATGTTGGATTTTTATCTCAGTCTTCCTCTGTGTGTGTGTTTTTTTTTTTTTTTATGCTACCGTGCCTCCCGACGGCCTGGAGCAGAGGAATTAACTCCTTTCTGTGGTTCATCCACCCTCTGCTGCACATTTATATCAAAGGTGGGGGTGGTGGAATTTCCTCAGATTTTGCACAAACATTCACCTGAAACTCGAGGAGGAACCTAATTTATTTTTGACATGAAGGGTCTCGGCAACATCACAAAATGTTTGGCTACGACACAAGAATTTGAGTTGAGTTATTCTGCAGAAGCAGGTTGTTGACTTCCCACAGGACTCAAAAATGGAGGGTTTGTTTATAGGAATGGTGAAATGCCCCCTTTAAGCAGTAATCCTTGTATTTGTAGAGTTGCTGTTTGACATTTATTTAGATTGGTGGATGTAAACAGCAGCCATCCACTGGTATACAACAGGGAAGTGTTAAAAGGTCTTAGGTTCACATGTACAAATGCATTATTGTGAAAAAAGAGAATTTGCTATTGTGTTTTTTTTTTTTTTTTTTTTTAGTTAAGAAAATCTAGACTTTCCTATTCTCCAAATGTACCAAAATGTCCCCACTGCGGGATAATAAAGGGAGTTCTCTTCTAAACTGTTTTGACATGTGGGTTAAACTCCTGTGTCTAAAGCTCCAACCTGACTGTTTGGAGATTAACTGGGTGGATAGCTTTATTATCATAGTTTGTGGACAGATTATATTTTATAAATTTCTTCAGCATCAACTTCCTTAAACACATTTTAATTATTTCTGATTATAATTCCTTCACTACACCTTTCTCCTGCATTAGCTTCTGATAGAAAACAGATGGTGAAACATATGAAAAGTCTCTCAGATCTATGTCACACTGTCACTTAAAGAGACGGTGTGTAGTTTTACCATTCATTTCTGGAAATATCCATCAAAATGTTGTTAAATGAATGAAATGCTGCCCAGTTGTTAAAATATTGTCGGCATCATAACATAACTATAAAAATCGGGTCTAAAATAAATGGGAGCGGGTCTACGTCTCCGGGCGACACCATATTAGACATGTTTCTTTCTATGGGAGCCTCTGAGGACAAAATACATTTTCTGATTTGTAACAAATGGTTACAAAACTTTCATCATTGTTACAAAACTTTCATCATTCTTAAATGTTGTTGTTTTAAATCTTTACCTCTTGTTGCCAGTGATGAAAGGGAGTCTATTGTGCTTGTTTTGCTAAAGTTTGCACTCCCCAGGGCTTTTTGACCCTGATGGACATCTGTTAAAGTCTTAATCCAACACAAAGCTACAGCTTGCTTGCAATGATTTTGGTATCTACTGCCTTGTATTGCTAGGAAAAATACAGTCACTTTAACTTTCATGGACTCTCCCATCTTGACTCATGACGGGGAAGGCTGTTGTTGGGTTTAGCGTTCAGGAAAAGTCCGAACATTTCTGCTAGTAAAAGCTAACATTAGCATTTCTACTACATAACAGAACTTCCCCATGCTTGTGTTTGTGGAGATGAAACATCAATGTTGCAAGTCCGTGGTAGAGTTGGATTGCTGTTGGCCAATCAGAGGAGAGATGTCCAAATATCAGGAAAGACTCCAAATCCTGCCGTCTGAATCTCACCAGTGATGTTGCTCACTTCCACTTCCTGGAAATTGGTGCCCCAGATCTTTGTTCCCCAGAGTACGACTTACCAGGCATTCCTACTACACCACTGCAAATGTACGGGGAAAAAACGAGTGTTCCCCACTTTTAAAGGGATGCCAGGGAAGGGAAGTTTAACATTGTCCGTTTACTGGTTTGAGTCTTCTGTTGCTGTAGATATTCAGAGCTGACGTCTCTCAGCTGAGCTGCTCCTGGATCAGAGTGACGGACACAAAAGGAACAACACCTTCACCTCGTGACAAGCACTCCTGCTGGGTGCACAGAGAAAGGTTTGCTCAGTGGAGACTTGGGTGCAAAACCTGCTTGAAGATCAGCTGGATCTGTTCTAATATCTGAATTGCTGTTCTGAAAGTTGTTATAATCCAGCTAATTTCTTTCTTCCTGCAGGTTAATCTACTTTGGTGGATATGGATGCAAGACGATTGGAGAAGTACGGAACACCTCCTCATCCAGCTTCACTGTGGAGGAAATGTCTTGGGTAAACAACACTTTTCCTGATTGATCTTTATAAATATTATCAGTATTTAACGTGTGTTGTTATAGGCGACTATTGGAGACACTTTATTTCGCTGTTGGGGATGGAACAATGAGGTCAATGTGTTTGATCCACAATCCTCCACATGGAGCAAACCTGAAACTCAGGTGAGTGGAACAGGAAAATCTGGTTTTAAATTCTCAGTCATCCAGGGCATGGCCTTTCTGCAAAGCATCTCGCCTTTCATTCAAAATGCATCTGGAATTCTGACCCCCTGAGGTAATGGATGATAAAGACACTTTATATTTGCTCAATCATAACATCCAGGCTTTAGTTGATCGAGCTGCTGTAAATCTGCTCTATTGGTGGCCTTTGTTTGTTTGCTTGTGTTGAGGAATTCTACCTGACCCTTTCAAGTCCTGTTTAGAATCCACACCAGGAAGCAGAATAGCTCGTTAGGATCAACCAAATGTCTTTGTTCTGCAGGGCACTCCATGAAGCCATGTGAGAACAAGGTCAAGGCTAATTCTTGTGTTTTATGTTAAAGGAAAACGAGCACGACAGGAAAGTATTGCCTGTCTGAGGTTATAATTTTGTGCAAGCCACTACAACGGCTCAAACAGTCCAGTTTACTGAAGAAGTTAAAAATCTAGTAGTATCCGAGTCATTCACAACACTTTGATAGCTAATAAAGGGTGTAAGACACTCATTTGACCAATAAAGTGATACCTTTATCATTTTTCACATAAGACAACTTCGGTTTAAAAAAAAAAACTTCCATTGAAGGGACTTAAAAGAAATCAGGGTCCAATACAGAAGGCATGGCATTCTTTAGTTATTAGACATGGTAGAAGACATGGAAGTGTTCTATCAAACACTGCATGTGATGAGGGCTTGTGGTGTGGTGGTTTTAATGTTGTGGCTGTGAATCTGTAGGGTCCGGCTCCTGCTCCCAGAGGATGTCATGCCAGCGCCCTGCTGGGGAGCAAAGGCTACATCACCGGTGGAGCGGTGAGTTCACTGAGCATCTTTAAATGTTCTCGAGATGTTTCAGCTGATCCATTTTGAGTGGTTAGAACAGCAGCATGCATCAGATTAGTGCTCTACAGGATTGTACTTCCTCTTCTGTGGATGCGGTTTGGGTAAAGCCCTTTCCTGTTTCTGGTGCTCCTTCCTGCTGCAACGTGAGACACTCTGGGATGAATAGCTTCTCTTGGATGAGGACCTTGACCATCCTGCACGAAACCTCTTAACTTTTAAGAAATGTTGCCTGACGTTTTAACCACTGCTGAGCTTAACTAATGTTCCTGTTATTGAACAAAAGCAGCTAATATCAGACAACTCATCTGTTAAAGCAGATAACTGGTTGTTGGTGGATGATATGTTCCTGTGACCGATGCCTTTTACAGATGGACACTTTAGAACTTAAGACAAAGACCACTAAGAAATTCTGCTTTATTTACAGGAAACGGCAGAATTGGACATTTTCTGCTTGGACCTTGAGACCTGGACCTGGACTCAAATGTAAAACTCCCTCCCAATAATACAGCTAACATATTTTTTCATTTTTTACAAAAACTTGTATGATCCTGTGTTTTTCTCAGTGACTTCCCTCCGTCTCGTGCACCTCTGGGGCGCTCCATGCACACGATGACATCCACATCGGACAAAAACCTTTTCATTTACGGTGGCCTTGGCATTGATGGTAACACCCTGAGTGAGTTGGCTCCCCTCTGAAACACGGCAGTCATCTTCTAAATGTGTCTGGAGACTAAAACTCTCCATTGAATCCGTTTTTAGACGATGCTTGGCAGTTTAACACTCAGAGACGGGAGTGGACGAAAGTGATACATCCACACAAGGACAAACCCAGGTACATTTCAGCAAACTAAATTTACAATTTGTACTATTTTGCAAACATTAAAGCATTTTAATTGTAAATCATGATATTCTTTTAAATTTGCCAGGGTTTGTCACACTGCCTGTTTGGGGAGTGATGGTGATGTTGTGGTGTTTGGTGGAAGCAGCAATCTCTGCATCCTCGTGGACTCGGTGTGTGATTTTAGTTTCACAGTATTTTCTCTTGCTGACGCAACCTAAAAGTGGCAGTTTATCATTTTGTTGCTTTAACCTTTGAAATAACGGCCATGATTACCATTATGATTCTGATCCTTGAGTAGTTTAAGGAATGAGATTATGAAGTGAATCATGTGGATTTTGTGTGCCACAAAATTAGTTTGTGGACAGATTGTATTGTAAATATACATGTTCTTCAGTGTCAACTTAACTGAAAACCCATATTTTAATGATTGATTATAATCCGAACTAATCACTCTGAGATTTTCATGCAACTGAACATGAAAATAGTCTCCTACACCTATTTCCTGCATGAGCTACTGATAGAAAATGGATGGTGAAACTCTAGGATTTTAAAAGCCTGACAGATCTACGTCACACTCAACATTCATGGACTCTTGACTCACGACTGAAGGATGTTGGTTAAGCGTCCTGGAAACGGCAGAGAACGTCTCAGCTAGTAGAAGCTAACCATTAGCAACTTCACCACACAGCAGAACTCCTTCATGTTTGAGCTATTTTTGGAGATAAGTGACGGTTTCAAAGCAAACAGTCAGTGGTAGTCACGTTGCTGTTAGCCAATCAGAGGCAAGATGTCTAAACTTTAGGAAATGAGACTCCAGATCCTGCCATGTTCATCCACTTTCTCCAACTGACTTCTGTCTTATTTATATATATAGATATAGATAAATTCAGTTAAAACATCTGGTTGGTAAATTAAAAAAAAAAAATATATATATATATATATATATATATATATATATATATATATATATATATATATATATATATATATATATATATATATATATATATATATATATATATATATATATATATATATATATATATATATATATATATATATATATATATATATATATATATATATATATATATATAATTTTAATTTACCAACCAGATGTTTTAACTGAATTTATCTATTTTTAACAAAACTAAAGGAAATGGAAGTAAAGCTGGTGTTGCTTTGGCTAGCTCTTGCATTTTATTTCATGAATAGCAAATGTTTATCTAATTAGATTTCTAATTAAATCTTTTCAGCTGGCAGTTCTGAGAGCTCCGTCACCAAATCACTGCAGGGACATTCTCATCTTTCAGACCAGGCCGTACTCTCTCTACAGGTAACCTTGTAACTAGAACCTAATCTTTACTGGCAGTAAACTCACAACAAGTTCTTTGTACTTTCTGTTTCCGACTCATTTCTAGTCATTGCTGCACATTTTGTACGTTCATTTAAACACAGAGTCATTTCTACTCCACCTTGAGCCCATGTGGTAATTCATGTTCGGGAGCTGGAATTAAACTAATGAGCTTATTGCTGAATATGAGCAACCATCTGCTGTAACCTGAGAAAATGTTAGATTTAGGTGCTTGTATTTTTTATGCTCCGAAAAGGTGAGACTTGAGATTTCGAGTGAGTTTTTATTCATGCTTGAACAGAGTTTTTTTTTTAATTGCTTGCTGTTTCATATGGAACAATTTAATGAAGAATTTAATGAAGAGCTATGTTTTAAAAATGTGTGTGTATATATATATAATATCTCAATGGGAGAGGTGTGCAGAATGAAAGTACAGTATTTCCTTTAAAACCTGCATTTTAATTTTAAAAAATCACATTTATTTTGACGGGCACACCGGGTTTGTCAACCAGCCACTAGAGGGCATTAATTTGGGTTGTCAAACAGTCCAGTGAGGCTGGCTATGTGGAAAATGGTGGACACGCAAGTCTAGCAGCTGCTTCTGAGCCCAGAAGACGTCACTATTCTTCGAAGAGGAGCAAGCATAAAAGATCTAAAACCAGAGTGAGTTTAGGTGAAGTCTACAACAGATGGACACAAAACATTTCACATATCTACAGTGAACCTGGTATCCCAACGGCTGGAAACCTTGTTCTATTGTTGCAACTACAACCTCCACACGCTAGATGTTGCTTTGGTGTTCGTGTTCCATAGTCAGCCTTTAAAAAATGAACAGTTTTCATTTCTGTGATCTAAACAGGATGAGTCTAGTTCTGAAACACTTCTTTCACACCTAGAATAATTTTAAAAAATCACAGCAAAAGGGGGAAAAAATAAACTACCAGATGCTGTCACCTTTAGAAAGAAAGCAACTGGTATCCATGTCTAAGAAAACAAGTTTAGGTGCGGTTGAACCAGCTGGTCTGACCTCATTCAGCTAAAGAGAACTGACTAGTAGATTGAAGAACTTTTTTTTTCATTAAAATTTTAGTCTGTATTTTATTTGACGCATGCACTAATTCCATAATCCAGACTTTATGGGTAAAATTTAATTCCTGTTAAATTTGAGAGTTGGACTCCACCAAGGCTGCCCTTAATCACTGATTCTGTTCATAACTTTTATGGACAGGATTTCTAGGCACAGCCAAGGTCCTGGTGGCCTGAGGATTAAGTCTCTGCTTTTTGCAGGCTTCATCAGACTCTGATCTCTAGGGATGTCCTGTTCCGATATTGATATCGGCCTAAAAACACTGTATCGGATTATATCGGACCGCATCAAATCTCCGTTATTAGCAGTTTGTTCTGATTTAAACTCCATTGCAGCAATTCTATCCAGCAGCGCCCAGATCCAGCATGCAAAGTTCATGTATCAGAACTGTGTGTGCTAGCAAAGTGGCAAGGAACAATATCAGCCATGTGGTTGTATTTTGCGTTAAAGCCTGAAAAGACATTGTGGCTCAGTGCAGCAATTGTCATGCAAAAGTTTCTCATGGTAGAACCGAACTGGGGAAGATTAATACGTTCAACCTCATCGTGCATTTGAAGCAGGATCACAAAACATTGCATGAGGATTTTTGCTGTGTGAAAACTTGACACTCAACTTGCAGCAGTTGGTCAGCTGTTCACATTTGTGCTACCAAATGTTAATAAAAAAAATTGGTCAGTTTTTTTTCTACTTACTCTTGCTGGCATTTTCTGCTTGAGTAATATCACTTAAGCCTTTTATACATTCCACTCTTGAAAGGGGTATAAGGTATGTATGATTTCTGCTGATATCAGTCAATACTGAAGGCTGCAGTGTCTTATCGGAAGTGAGAAAAGTTGTATCAGGACATCCCTACTGAGTCCAGCTTTCACTGAAGCAGTTCACAGTTGAGTGTGAAGCAGCTGGGATGAGAATCAGCTCCTCTAAATTGGAGACCATGGTCTTGAGTCTGTAGAATGCCTTCTCCAGGTCAGTGATTAGGTCCTGCCTCAAGTGGAGGAGTTTTAGTATCTCGGGGTCTTGTTCACGAGTGAGGAAAAGATGGAGCATGAGATTGACAAGTGGATTGGTGCTGCGTCTGCACTGATGTGGGTGTTGTACTGATCTGTTGTGGTGAAGAGCGAGCTGAGCCGGAAGGCAAAGATCTTGAATTACCGGTCGATATACATTCCTACCCTCACCTATGGTCACGAGCTTTGGGTAGTGACCAAAAGAACGAGATTGTGGATACCGCTGGAATGAATTTTCCCTGCAGGGTGTCTGAGCTCTCCCTTAGAGAGGGTGAGAAGCTCTGTCATCCAGGAGGGGCTTGGAGTAGATCTGCTGCTCCTGAGAGGAGCCAGTTGAGGTGGCTTGGTCATCTGGTCTGGATGCGTCCCTGGTGAAGATTTCTGGTCACTTCCAACTGGGAGGAGACTCATGGGAAGATCTTGGATAAACTGGAGGGACTGATATGCCTTAGGATTTCCCCCCCCCGAGGAACTGGCCCAAGTGGCTGGAGAGGGAAGTGCGGGCATTTCAGATTAAGCTGCTTTTCCAGCGACCCGACCCCAAATTAGCGGATGGCAATAGACAGAGAGTGAGGAAGTCTTATCTGTCTGTCTAGATCTCAAAAGAAATTTTATTTCTAGTGAAACAAAATTCATGACTACTCATTTGCTTTACATTACTGATTTCTTAAGATTAAATTTATTTATCAAAACATGCACAGACCAGCTGCTTAAAGCGGTAACTGAAGATTATTCAGAATGTTTCTTTAAATTTGAAGTGTGGACTCTGATTCTGCAATGTACCAGTTCTCAAGCTTGCATCCCAGTTCAACAGCTGCATTTCAGTCTAAATTAAATTGAAATATCGATTTAAGCAGGAAACTGTCTCAGTTAAATACCTTTATTTATTTTTAACCTTACTCAAATATCAGTTAATAAATTTGACAAACTGATATGTTGGAAGTTCCAAAGTTTCTCTCTCTCTCCGTGTGTGTGTGTGTGTCCATCAGACTCTGTGAGGATTTCATCGCAGGAAACTCTCAGCTGTTCAGACTGCCGCTCGACTTGCTGCCTTCAAAACTTGGCAACAGAATCAACAAAAGGGTTTCATTTTTCTCTGCTATGACTCCACTTTTACAAAATGAAGAAATGTTTTACAGCAACAAATAACCTGAGCCAGTTATTTTGTTAGTGTTCATAATAACTTTAAAAGACTTGGTGCTAAGTTTTTTAATTTTTTTTTTAAAAACTCCTATAGTTTGTAAATAAAGTTTGTAGGTTTTAACTCTTTAAGTTTTAATTAAGGTGATTCTGATTTTGAATAAAGTTGCTGGTGTTTACATTCTTGTGGTTTGTTTCTTCATTTCAGAATGGTCAAAATTAAAAAGGGTAAGTGCAAGATGACACTAGAAGCCAAACTAAAGCTACTCTGCTCTGCAGGTGCATACAGTGGGGCAAAAAAGTATTTAGTCAGCCACCGATTGTGCAAGTTCTCCCACTTACAATGATGACAGAGGTCAGTAATTTACATCATAGGTACACTTCAACTGTGAGAGACAGAATGTGAAAAAAAATCTATGAATTCACATGGCAGGATTTTTAAAGAATTTATTTGCAAATCAGGGTGGAAAATAAGTACTTGGTCAATAACAAATTCAACTCAATACTTTGTAACATAACCTTTGTTGGCAATAACAGAGGTCAAACGATTGCTATAGGTCTTTACCAGGTTTACACACACAGTAGCTGGTATTTTGGCCCATTCCTCCATGCAGATCTTCTCGAGAGCAGTGATGTTTTGGAGCTTTCGCCGAGCAACACGGACTTTCAACTCCCTCCACAGATTTTCTATGGGGTTGAGGTCTGGAGACTGGCTAGGCCACTCCAGGACTTTCAAATGCTTCTTACGGAGCCACTCCTTTGTTGCCCGGGCGGTGTGTTTGGGATCATTGTCGTGTTGGAAGACCCAGCCACGTTTCATCTTCAAAGCTCTCACTGATGGAAGGAGGTTTTGGCTCAGAAGCTCACGATACATGGCCCCGTTCATTCTGTCCTTAACACGGATCAGTCGTCCTGTCCCCTTAGCAGAAAAACAGCCCCAAAGCATGATGTTCCCACCCCCATGCTTCACAGTAGGTATGGTGTTCTTGGGATGCAACTCGGTATTCTTCTTCCTCCAAACACGACGAGTTGAGTTTATACCAAAAAGTTCTACTTTGGTTTAATCTGACCACATGACATTCTCCCAATCCTCTGCTCTATCATCCATGTGCTCTCTGGCAAACTTCAGACGGGCCTGGACATGCACTGGCTTCAGCAGCGGAACACGTCTGGCACTGCAGGATTTGATTCCCTGCCGTTGTAGTGTGTTACTGATGGTGACCTTTGTTAATGTGGTCCCAGCTCTCTGCAGGTCATTCACCAGGTCCCCCCGTGTGGTTCTGGGATTCTTGCTCATCGTTCTCATGATCATTTTGACCCCACGGGATGAGATCTTGCGTGGAGCCCCAGATCGAGGGAGATTATCAGTGGTCTTGTATGTCTTCCATTTTCTGATAATTGCTCCCACAGTTGATTTTTTTCGCACCAAGCTGCTTGCCTATTGTAGATTCACTCTTCCCAGTCTGGTGCAGGTCTACAATTCTTTTCCTGGTGTCCTTCGAAAGCTCTTTGGTCTTGGCCATAGTGGAGTTTGGAGTCTGACTGTTTGAGGCTGTGGACGGGTGTCTTTTATACAGATAATGAGTTCAAACAGGTGCCATTAATACAGGTAACGAGTGGAGGACAGAAAAGCTTCTTAAAGAAGACGTTACAGGTCTGTGGGAGCCAGAGATTTTCCTTGTTTGAAGTGACCAAATACTTATTTTCCTCCCTGATTTGCAAATAAATTCTTTAAAAATCCTGCCATGTGAATTCATGGATTTTTTTTCCACATTCTGTCTCACAGTTGAAGTGTACCTATGATGTAAATTACTGACCTCTGTCATCATTTTAAGTGGGAGAACTTGCACAATTGGTGGCTGACTAAATATTTTTTTGCCCCACTGTACTAACATCTGAGCTTGTAAATTATAGTTGGCAATAGACATTGATCCGATTTTATTTTTTATTTTTTTTTTACATTTTTGAGAACAGTGAAAATCCCAATTTAAAACTGAGGAACCAACAAAGAACATTTTATTTTATTTTGCAAACAGGTTCTGAATCCACACACCAGGACAAGACGTAAACCTCCTAATGTGTCTTTGGCAGCTCGGTTTTTACTTTTTTGTCTCAAACGGGTCTCATGTAGTTGGCTGGGAGCATCCCCCGCTTCCCCGTTCGCTGGTTGCAACCGAACATCCATCCCTCATCAATCGGCACCACGTCTAAGATCAGATCTCCTTCCTGCAGAGAAACTTCATCAGCTTCTGCTGCCGTGTAGCTGTACAAGGCCTGGTAGCGCCCCTGCATGAGTGGAAACACCAGGAGCAACTTGAATGAACAAAGAATGATTAGTAAAATGAATTTGCATCTATGAGGGAAGTGAAACAGTTTTACACAAAACATTCTTTTGATTTTAGAATCACAAGCAAAGAAAACATTTTTATCAAGCAAACTTGCAAACAAAAGTTTAGCGTTGTTTAGTTGCATACAGCTCTTGTATGTTGGTACTCAGATTTTTTTTTACATTGAGGAGCATATAAAGCAGCACTATGGTGATTCAAGGACACTTCCGTGTGTGTGTGTGTGTGTGTGTGTGTGTGTGTGTGTGTGTGTGTGGTCTCTACCAATGAGCACTCAACAAATACACAGTTTTGCAGAAATGACCCTCCTTGAACATAAAAACTATTTATGGTCTAATGCTAACTTTAAACTACTGATGCTTCTGCGGTTCAATTACATCTAATGCCTGCAGATTTTTTACATTGAGGAGCATATAAAGTAGCACAATGTGGCAACCAAATAAAACCAACGTTTAAAGGGTTGGGGTTTGTTCAATAAACTGGACCGGCACCCTACAGTTGCAAGTGAGATATTCTAGCCACAGAGACTGATAGGGGTCTGTCAAATCTGCTCGGTGATGGACGATGTTCTGGGGGATGATTGTTGCTGTACCCCTGGCCATTCGGTGCTCTATGCACAGCTGCGTGTGGGCGGAGTGCTGGTACAGGGTAAGACAATTGCTTAGATTTCTAAAAAGTCTACATTATTCCTGAAAGGGGGAATGGTAAATGACCTGTAATTGTACAACACCTTCATAGGGTCTACAACTCCCCAAAGCGCTTCACAACACAGTCATCCACCCATTCACACACACAATGACACGCTGCCCTGGGGCGCACTGACGGAAGTGAGACTGCCGAACACCATCACCACCAGTCCCTCTGACCAACACCAGCAGGCAAGGTAGGTTAAGTGTCTTGCCCAAGTACACAACAGCAGCATCCTCTGGTTGGAGCTGGGATGGAACCTGCAACCTTCCGATTACTAGACAGCCTGCTCTACCTGTTGCCTGGGAAGATGTAAGAAGTTGCCTTTTGATTCTGTAATTTGTTTGAACAAGTATGATTGTTTTGTTTTGTTCATTTGGGCTAAAGAACACCCTGAAAACAAAATAAGGGATTTTGTAACCACACAGAAACATGACAGAACCTCAGTCATCTTCATGTTGAAGTTTGGCAACCAGCAGGACAACACTGTTTCTTTATCCTAACCTTAACAAGGCCTTAGTTTCTCTCTGGTTCTTATCTATATTCGCCATAACAGCTTTGTTTCAAGTGGTTTTTCAGTAGGAACCAAGGTTGTCATTTTCTAGAACCACTCATCATTTTGCCTAATTTTTCATCACATCTTAGCTTATGAATTATGATCAATTTGCTTGTATTTTAACCACAAATTCCAAAGATGGCCACAAGAGGGATCAATGGAACTATAGTGCTGTAATAGCCTTACCCCTCCACCAGATGGCGCTACAGCAGCAGGGCGCATTTGCTCAGCAGGCTGTCCGGTGGTCGATGCTTCGTTTTCTGCACAAAGATAGACATGAAATCAGCTCAGCTGTTCAGAGTTAAATGTGGGGATTAGGCGTGTAGCAGTATATTTCACCTTGTCGGTTTTCAGGAGGAGGAGCATCACTGCGAATCTTGCTCTTCTCGAATTCTTCATGGTATTTTATCTGCACATACATGCACATTAAATCCCCAGGAGGGCACTGAACCCTCAGCTGTTCTGCTTTAATTAAGCTCTCCCTCTTTTTGGAGATGGAGTAACTAAACAGTCGGACTATATAGTTATAGCAGGTATTAGACAAAGGAGAAGGCAGTGTGAGGAGGAGAAAAAGGAGCAGCAAGCTCATTCTTAAAACCTCAGGAGGAAAAGGATGACAGGGAAATGTGGGAAAGGAGAAAAAAAGGACAAGATTTTGACCTGTTGACATGCAGCTTATTACCCACCATTCCTTTCTGCAACTAGCCCTCATGAGAGAGTGTGTGTGTGTGTGTGTGTGCGTGGGTGTGTGTGCGGACAGCAGTGGGGTTTGTGTTCACAGCTGAGAGACTTTGACCATATAGGGCTTCAGGTGGACGGGGAGAAACGTCAGAAATGTGCCTCTGTGTTTCTGCAGGGTCTGAGATCCTTCACTGCCATCTGGAGATCCTTTTCTCCTCTTTTCCTCATGTTCAGCTTTGAGTCTACTAGTGAAAACTGCTGTCAAGAGTGAACAGGAAACATTTAGGAAACCAAACTGGACTCACATTACTGATCTGGTCTTGAGTCTTCTTGAGTCTTTGCATCTCCGGAGTGTCGACCACCACGCTGAGCTTCCCCTTGTTCTTTTCAAAGTCCTCCTTGTAAAGAGCCTGAAAACACAAGCCTTATTTCAGACTAACTGTTGAATGTCACGAAACATCTATAATTACAGGATTTACATCTACAACCAAGTCAGTTTGTTGCAACAAAAAAACTCAAAACAACAGAGAAGTATTTATTAAGAAATTATTAATGCATATTTTAGCAAATAAAAGACTGAAGACATTAGTTTAAGTTCAAAATATTTGTCTTTAGGAGGAAGCAGTCACACGTTACTGATCTGAAGATAAAATAAAGGCTTTCATTAAACAACTGAGATTAATCTCTCAACCTAAATAAAACCATTCATAACAAAATCCACAACATTAACATTCAATTCTATATGAATCCCAAATAAACACAAACAGAGCCAAGCTGTGATTTAGTTGACAGTTTGTCACAGTTCTCCATAGGTTTAGACCTCTGGGGAGCGTTTAAAGCATTAAACAATGTCAAAATGTTTATTTGAAAGTAAATCAGAGATTGCTGCACGCACGCACACACACACACACACACACACGCAAACTCAAGTGAGTCATGTTCTGGCTATGAGGGATATGCTGCCCCAGAGAAAGAGACTTTTATGGGAATAAACAAAGACACGGGTAGGTTGGATGAAAGAATGAGAAAGGAGAGAGAGAGAGAATCAAGACGCTTTAGATGTGATCTTTAGATTTTGATGTTATTTACAGTCATAAAGTACAGTTTAGTTATGTTTGGAATGATTTTAACTCAAAACAGAGCCCCTCTAGAGACTCTTGTGTTGTTACAGCTGCTGGAAGGATGTTGGTTCTGCTCTGTTTCTCCTATGAACGTGTTTTTGTGGTAACTGGATGGGTTCATGTGTCTGAAATTGCAGCTATGTGGACTGAACCAAACACCAGAATCACTGTCTTTGATTTGGTCAAAAACAGTGATGATGACAGAACCAGTCTGTGGGGTTGGCTGTACAGGAACTAAAACGAGGTGAAAACAGATTCTAAAAATATGCTCAGCAATTCTGAAATGTGTTTATGTAAAACTTATAATTTAATAAAATAAATAAAATAATTTAATGATTTATTATTATTATTATTATTATTATTAAACAATTATAGTCTTACCAATAGATGGTAAGTGGCCTGTATTTGATATAGCACCTTCTACAGTCCTAGAAAGCTCCCAAGGCACTTTACAACTTAATCAGTCATTCATCCATTCACGCACACATTCACACCCTGATGCTGATGAGCTACAATGTAACCACAGCTGCCCTGGGGCGCACTGAGAGAAGTGAGGCTGCCGTACACAAGCGGCCACCATACCAGCAATATCAAGGTGGGTTAAATCGTGTCTTGCAAGGACACAACAGCAGTGACAGACTAAGCGGGGCTCCAGTAATGGGGTGAACACTTAGATAGCTTCCTGAACAGCCTCAATTAGGAGAAATACATTTTATACCCTTCAGGTACTAGCTTGTCCGAGTGCAGCTAAAATTGAGCATTTTGCTGCTAATTTAAAAGCCACAATATATAAGAACTCTGCAGTGAAATAATCACAAAACAGTCTAATGTCTCAATCATGGAAGAAGGAAGGTTACATTGAGACAGATTTCCTTTTCAGTTGACTTGGGGGTTGTCAGTTTTTCGCCTTTTGTCTTTGTTTACAATTTGTAAGCCCACAGGGTTGCTAAGTCTGTGCCAAGCGAATGCTACCACACCTGCATTTATAATGAGAAGCCGGCAGGCAAAAAGCTCCAGATTTGTGGACAGTGTGTTATCCAGAACAAGTATCAACCCAGATGTTGTTTTTTATACCCCCTAAAAATCAATCAATCAATCAATCAAAGCTTTATTTATAAAGCACCTTCCGCAACCCTGTCAGGAAGCCCAAAGCGCTGAACATGGTTCAGTTGAAGGTAACTAAAAAGCCACAGAGATATGTTTTACTCATATCAGGTAAATAAGGACGGAGGCTGACGCTGAGTTAACAGTGCTAATAGAGAATTAGAAACCGTCGGCTCTAAAACTGTTGTGCTACTTTTTATTCCATCAACTCAACTGCTTGCCACATTTATTGTGGTTTTCTGTGTTTAATGCTCCTTCCTTCGTCATGAAGAATGATTCGAAGCTCGCTAAACTAATCATCTCCTCTTCTCCAGGTCTAGTTTGAGGACGTCAATTTGGTTAGACAAACATCTGTAGTCCGCTACGTCTTTTCACACAAAACCTAGAATAACTTTTGCTGCTGTGTGATAATAAGAGCTTTCTTGGCATCAAAATGTGTATTCAAAATGATCGGCTTTTATACGGAATATGTAACACGAACACCAAAGTGACATCTAGTGTGTGGAGGTTGTAGTTGCAACAACAGAACGAGGTTTCCAGCCGTCGGGATACCAGGCTCACTGTCGATACGTGAAATGCTTCACTTGGGTCCGTCTGTTGTAGACTTCACCTAAACTCACTCTGGTTTTAGATATTTTATGGTCGCTCCCCTTCTGAGAAGGATAACAACATCTTCTGGGCTCAGATGCAGCTGCTGAACTCGCAGAGTCCGCCATTTTCCACAGAGGCAGCCTCGCTGTGCTGAGCGGACAGTTCGGCAAGCTGCAACAATGCCCTCTAAAGGCTGGTAGATGTAAACATAAACCCAGTGTTGTGCCCGTCAAAATAAATGTGATTATTTTTTATTAAAATATGGCTTTTACATTGAATACTGTAACTTCATCCTGCACACCTCTAAACACCCCGTGGAAGTATTGTTTTTAAAAATATAGCTTTTTGTTAAATTGTTCCATATTAAACCTTTAAATAAATGGCTCATATTAAACTGAATCAGAAAATAACTTTTATCCTCTTTTAGACTCACATTGATTTTTTTGGACAACTGGGGACCCATGGTCCTGAAGCAAATGGGCGTGGCTTAGACTCTCTATTGACCCTTTGTACATGATGTCACGCCACTCAAGGGACCACGCCCTTGATGGATGTCAAAAAGACCATTTACCCCCAATGAAACTCCAGTGAAGCTAGTCAAAACAAGCCCGTTTGTAGCCTTTTATCGCTTTTGTTGAGTTGATTTCACAGTAAAATGGTAACACTTTGCTGCGCGGTGGGCTGCACTAACAGAGAAGGGTGTAAAGTCAAAAACTTCAGATGTGCAGCGATCACACAGATCTGAGATTAGTAAAGTGAGTGTTTAGAAACACTGACTATTGTTTACGATGGGTGATTTTTTTACATCTGTTTGCAGGACAAAATCTATGCAGATAAACTGTCTCCCTGCTCTGTGATCCTCTACAGAAACCCGCATGCATTGGTTTTAACGCCTTTTATGTACTTAATGTCTGTGGTTTGGAAGTTTCTGCAGACAATAAAAAAAAAGGATCACAATCAGGAAATCTCTAGATGATCTGTCTCTGAGATGTAGCAGCTAAACTATCCTTCTCTGTGCTGAGTTAAAGCGTTAAATGGACTTTTTTTTCTGCTTCTTGCATTGGAAAGTAGGCTGGATGACAGGACACTCCTCAATGCAAAGTTTTCCTGATGGGAACTCTTTTTAAATTTGCGTGACTTAGAGGACTTATCCTTTAGATTGGGTTAAAGAGCTGGCAGGAGAAGTGTGATTAGATTAAGAACAGATGAGGGAGCCAGTGCCGTGACACATTTACTCTGTCAGACACACAAAAACTAGCCTTCTTGTGCATGTATGACTTCATCATGTCATATAAGCCATGCCAAGTGCTCTTATTTCAGGATTTTCTGATGGCTTTGCCTTCTTCAGAATAATTTAGTGATTGGAAATGTTGACCTGAGAATCCCATGTGTTCTGGTACTAATGAATGGAGTGAAGAGTCTGTGATAAAAGGGAGAAATCCACCAAGTCTGGGTGATAAAGTAAGATTAAGATGTAAAGTGTTTCTGACAGCAGGAGAAAACCAGCACTGGGTGGAGATTACAGCAGAAGGAGGCCTGATCTGTGATCTCACCTGGCTGTTGAGCATGGTCTGCTGTTTGAGACGCAGGTTCTCTGGAGTGTCAGTCACAATGGTGAAGGACGTTTTAGGATAATGCCTGGAGGAAGGAAAGAAATGGGTTCAAAAGCACATTCTGACCTCAAGACACAGCATCATTTAAAAGAATTATTCATTTTAGTTTTTGTAAGACAAAAGTTAAAGATTTTTATGACTCGCTACAGCTTTCCAAGTCAAGAATATTCTTAAATAAATATTTTTAAAACATCAGATGAAAAATTAACAGGAATTCATTTTGGATTCCAGCAGATAAGAAATTCCTGAGAAACAATTCAGCTTATTTTAATTTGAATGGAATTTAAAACTCATCATCCATTTAATCATATAGTTAGTTGTTTGTATTTTATGTGAAAACAGCTAATAAATTAAAACAAAGTTTACAATTCCCCACCCACATTCAAATGTTGTATTGTTCTAACCTGGCTTTGGTGCAGTGAATTTTTAAAGTTATTTACAATTGACCTCTTTAGTTTTCCGCTTTTAATTTATCAGGAAAAGCCACAATATTCAGTAAAATGATAGCAAATAAGACATTTTTGATTTGTGTATTAAAAAAATTTCTTTAATTTGTTTTAATGATAGATAGTTAAACCATAATAAACTAAATGGTTAAAATGTATTAGCATCTATTCTACAACATCAAACTGAGCTAACCTCATCAGGGTGGTTATAACATATCAGTGACTTCATGGATGAGTTCCTTTGTTTAAAAAAATGAAAATATTTTAAAATAGGTTCACGTGAGTGAGCTTAAACTTTAAATGGCCATAAATAAATAAATAAATAAAAACATAAAATAACATCTGGATAATTTCAAAAGGATATTTTTGCTTTTCCTAAAACGTAAGTTTAGTTTAGTTTAGTTTTTGTTGTTATTACTGATATTGTTTTAGACCTGTTAAGAAATGTGTTAATTGATGAAAAGGCTGGCTTTATCTTGTTGAACTTTGTTCATTTTTGTAATTCATTTTTTTCTTTTTGTCTCTTTAATCTCTCCATCATACTCCTAACCTAAACATTTACTCTCACAGCCAGGTCAATAAAAAGTAGGCTATATGGCTTGAGTTTGTGTTTTAGTTTTAGCCATGTTCAGGGTGAATACTCACATACTGCAGTAGGGTTTCTTCTCAAAGCCTTTATAGTTGGTCATACTCAGAGCCATCTTGCAAACCTCACAGCTGAAACAACCTTTGTGCCAATACTGAAACAGTTTAAAACAACACAATAAAATTAATATATGGTGACAGTAGAGAAAAACATCATGTCAATAAATGATATAATTAGTCATCATACCTTATCCAGGCAATTGATTTTTTCTGTTGGATAAACTGGTTTGTTGCATCTTCCGCAAGGCGGATTCATGTTGGCTCAGTGGGTCTTTGCTCAGAGAGAGAGGGAAAAAATCTCAAATAAAAAGAAATCTTAGAAAAGTAGGACCACTGTTGAGCTGCCAAAACTTACCGTCCAGCGCGCGTCTGCAGGTCTGCAGGCATTTCAGCACCGACCCGACGGCGAGGAGGAGTCAAGTCTGCATGGTGCCTTCAGGTATCCTTGGAAATATGAGACTTTTGTCATGTCACGTTGCCAGAATCATTTTAACATTTTAGATTGTATAAACAAAATAATTTGTAATCACATGTTTTTTCACAATTATCATGGTTCAGTCAAAACTTCTACTTTTATTTTTTCGGTTATCATATACTGCATCAATGCTCCGAAGTTTTAATACCTGAAGAATTTGATTTCACTCGAAGATTTACGCAAGTTAATATGTAAGAGACTCACTGGCAGATGCGTGATAATTAATATAAAAAAACTGTTAAACCCACTTTACCTGTATTATTGTGTGAATTTTGCTTTGAGTTCTTTCACGTGTTTGAGTTAGAAACAGATTTTAATGTTTTTTTGTTGTTGGTTAAATCAATCCGTAAGCGCGGAACAAAGTCTAAATATGGACACGATAAGAAAACAGCCTAACAGAACACACAATGGATCTTTTCGAAGGACTTTTAAAATCCACATCGAAATAAGGATGAATTCCCCCTTGAAGAAGAGTGACTAACTTGCGCTCTCTGTCGGTAGGAAAACAAACAAAACATCCAATGCTGCCATGTTTGTTTTGTCACCGATGGTAAGCTAGTAGTTTACCCTCACGAGCCCCAATAACTCAGGAAAGAAATGTACGGAAATCTAGAAACGCCTACAATGTATACAAAATAGAAAACTCAACCAACAGAAAATGCTATACATAATCAAATACAACATATTCTGATTTTTCATTATCGTGGGGGTATAGCTCAGTGGTAGAGCATTTGACTGCAGATCAAGAGGTCCCCGGTTCAAATCCGGGTGCCCCCTCTTTTTTCACATATTACTTTTGTTTATATACAAATATAGTTTAACATGAAATATAAACAACTATCTAATTGCGCGGTGCCATCTCCTGTCTCGCATAGAAACAAATTACTTGATTTCCTCATCTATTCAATCTTTATGTCAGAATTTTGCTGTAAACTATATTTTTGCTTTCCTTTTGTGGGATATGTTATGGAATAGGCTGTTTTTGTTTAGATCTTTACCCTTCTGGAGGATGGTGATCAAAATGATAAATCTTATCAAGTCTGGTCAATCAGTTTGGTGTTGCAGCTCTAGGTCCGTATTTGGATCAAGGTTTGAGGGTAAATAACATCTAAGCACTGTTCATAATGGCATAGATTATTTAATTGTTTTCAATAATTAGGTTACTCAAAAGTTGTTATGCCCTAAGTGTTGTAAGATGTTTAACTATAAGTATTTCTATAATAAAAACAAGGTAAACCAACCAACAAGATGGTAGTTCAGCTTCAAGCTGTACTTTTATTGTTGTGATAAGTTGCTGCACCATTAGCACCAGTCCAAAGTCTGTAAAAAATATTGTATGGCTCTATAGCGCTCTCTTATGGAAGTTTTTAAAATTGCCTGTTTAGAAGTTGAATTAGTGTTTGTATGATAGTTGAATTTATTCCATTGCGAAATGACTTACAGATATTTTTTAGGTATTATATTTTATTATATTATATTAAATTTTTGCATTGTATGGCGCTTTTATGCTTTAAATGCAATTATCTGCTTTTATGTCCTGATTTTTGTGTTCTAGGTTTTTCTTTATACTTTGGGCAACTCTGCTTTTTTGGCATTTTACCACCCAAATGTTTTGTTAAATATACTTTGTTTATTTTAGGAAAAATGTTTTAGTTTTGCTTCCGAGTGGGACAGGGTCACGTAAACTTGAAAATATGTGGGAATTATTTCAAATCAAATCAAATCAACTTTATTTATATAGCACTTTTCATACAAAAAATGCAACTCAAAGTGCTTTACAGATTAAAATGGCCCCATAGATCCCACATTCCCATCCCAGCCCCCCTCCCCAAGTATAAAACAATTAAAAATTACAGTTCCCCTCCCGCACCCAACTTCCAAAGTGGACATACAATCACCCGCACACACACACACACACACGCGCGCACACACACACACACACACACACACACACACTCATGAACACCAGAGGAAACAATAGGCTGAGTTCAGATGGGTCAGGTAATGAACGACACATCATCAGCGGAGCCATCTGCCTTGGCAGCAACAGATCAACGGCATCAGCCAATACACCGGCCCATGACGCCCAGTGGCGTAGGGCAGAAACCCCCACCAGTGCCCGGGCACTACCTGGGGAGCGCCCCGGCCGCCGCCGCCCCTGACCACCGGCCCCAAGGCATTAAATACTTCAAATGATTTTCTCACAATCAGAGGATAAGTTTCATAATAATTTTGAGCTTATCGAGATTGTTGAAAACATGAACAGAAAAGTGTGTTTTGCTACTGCACTCACCTCGATAAAACCTTTGATGTTTTCTTCTAAGAGCTGGCACAGCTGTCCTGAATATCAAGCTGTTACTTTTTCATCAAACACAAGGCGTATCTCCACATTGATCGTCAGCTTTTATTAAAAGACATTGAAATAACAATGTTCAGAGAAATCTCTTGACTACTCCAAAATCCAGTCATATTATATTTTTCCAAAGCAGTCCAAGATGATCATTATATTCACTATCAGTCGTATAGTTAGATATCTTTTGTAGATACGTCCACAAAGCGTTGAACCAGTCGACACTTGAAGTTCCATGGAACAAAAATAACTCTTTAAAGTAAAAGATGAGAGAAACATATAGTTGAGCTGTACGCGCGTTTGCAGTTTGAAGGCTTGTTCAATTCATTCCCTGACAGTTTCTTTCATTGAAAGTTCTTCCTTTATACATCATCATCATCACCCTGTCAGACCCTCCAACCCCAGGATCACATGGCGAAACTCCTGTGTGGTGGCAAACAGCAAAATACACAGAAAAAGCAGGCAAGACCTAGAAGAGCAGTTACAGTAAACACTTTCCATCCACAAAAGGTTGGTTGGAATGAGGACACCTTGTGTCTGTAATCTGCCTGAATGGCCAACTTCATCCTTTTTAGTCTCCTTGCACCCTCAAAAAAGACCCTTTTCTGAAAAGTCCAGGATATTTAGCAGCAGGGCTCTGCTTCAATGAATCCTTCCTTCTCATGAACCCCGAGCTCCACTTCAGCATAGCTGGAGTGACAGCTCTGGTTGCGAAACTTCATGGAGGGCCAGTAATTATTTGTGCGTCTCTGCAAAACAACAAGGATCATGTAAGTTCTATTAGATTCATTAAGTGTGGGAACATGTTTTGCATTGTTTTTCTCACCTGCATGAGGTAGAAAGGTGGAGCAACCGTTGGGTGTGTGTTGATGTAGTAAACAGCCAGTAAGGTCAATGTTACGAGCAGAACTAATGCAGCAACAACACCCGCTATGATGGCTGCGTTCTCTGTTATCCCTCTGTGGGTCGGAGCAATCGTCTGTAAATCTGAAGAAAAGAAACATTAATGAAACAGATCATCTGCTTCAGATCACTAAATGCGTACTCTATACTGACTTTTCTTGAGTTTACAGATTAAACATAATCTAGTAGTTTCCATTTAACAATCAGGCAATTTAAAGAGGAGAGATTATGACTTATTTCTTAAGATACAATAGTTCTATGGCCAGTAAAAAAACATGTTCATGAAGCTCTTTGCACTAAATGCCTCTCACAGAAAGTGATTTCAGCTTTTGTATTTCTTGACAGTTTCAGTACCTTCCAGAATGAGCCATTTCAGTGGTTTGTCAATTTTAAGAAGACAAGCTGGAGCTGGCCACGTCCACCCATGACTCTCTGCTATAAGCTAAGGAGCTCCAATATCTGGGAGAGTTCGGAGTATAGCAGCTGCTCTTCTAGCAGTAGCTCTCTCTTGCATGTGAGAGGTGATACCATTCTACTATCCCCATTTGTGACATCACACATGGGGGCCTTTTGAAATGGCTTGTTCAAGGCATAAAATTATCAAAACCAAACACTTACAGATGCATGAGGGATTTTTTTCACGTTTATAGTGTTTACAAAGGCAGTAGAGACCCACATGGCACCATACATTGTGGCAAAGGTGACGTTAGCATAATATATCCTCCTTAAAAACAGACAGAAAACTATCAGCAATTTAACGTCTAAATAATTTACATTTACAGACATTTTTATTCTATTTTTGCCAGCACCTTACAACTTTTAATGCCAAAATTTTCATTATGCAACATTATTTTGAGTTTTATTAGACTAAGTAAATCAAATTTATAGGAAAAGTATAGGATTTATAGGAATACCCATCCACCCATCCATTACTTTTCAGCCACTTCTCTGGAGCGGGTCTTGGGGGCAGTAGTTTAAAGAGCAAGTCACCCCCAAATCAGCTTTCTTTCCCCAATAAACTGTATAAATGAGTGCCCAAGCATGCTGTAGACACCTGTAGTCAATAGTTGAGCACTTTAGTGCATTTTAGTTAAAATTTTCTGCCTAAAACTGTCAGTGTTGTGCCGTTGTCAGGTAAAAACTCTGCACCTCTTCTTCTACACCTCCTCTAAACACACCCACATCACCCCGCTTCTCCTCCAGCTTCATTGGCTGCCAGTCAACTTCAGAGTTCATTTCACGATCCTGGTTCTGGTCTATAGGGCCTTACATGGACAAGCGCCATCTTACATTGGTGATCTTCTTAGTCCCTACACCCCCAGCAGGTCCCTGAGGTCCAGTGATCAAAGCCTACTGGTTGTGCAGCACCAGGCTAAAGACCAAAGGTGACAGATCATTTGCTGCTGTGGCCCCCAGACTCTGGACCTCTCTCCCCCTGAGCCTGAGATCAGTGGACTCAGTGGTCTCCTTTAAAAAGCAGCTGAAAACTCACTTGTTCAAGCTGGCTTTTGTATGACCTTCTCCAACCCCACTCTCTTTATTCTGCTCTCCCCACCTATTCCACCTTCCTCAGGATTCACTGATTTCCCTCTTTCCTATTTATTCTCTCTCTTTCGTAACATTTTTAATCACAATTGTCCATTTTGTGCTCATTTAAAAATATTTGTAACCATTTTCTAAATTCTTTTTTATATTTTTACATTTTTTGTTTTTGTGAAGCGCCTCGTGATTTTTATCTTGAGAGGCGCTATAGAAATTATATCTTCTTCTTCTTCTTCTTCTTCTTCTTCTTCTTCTTCTTCAATGCAATTTAATTTAAATCTGTCATTGCTATTGGCTAAGAGGTACCCTAGAATGTTATCTGGTACGATATGATGTCACAATGTTGTTGTAAGCCTGTGTGTGTGTGTGTGTGTGTGTGTATCTGTTAGTAGCTCTACCCTCTCGGTCTGCTAGGCAACAGCATTTGTTGCATTTTCAAACAGGAAGTGGGAGAGAAGTAATACTCTGGTAGGGGTTGACTTGCTCTTGAAGCAGAGGAGCCCAGACTTCCCTCTCCCCAGCCACTTGGGCCAGCTCTTCCAGAGAATCCCAAGATGATCTCTGGCCAGCCAAGAGACACAGTCCCTCTAGCGCAGGCATGGGGAACCCTGGTCCTCGAGGGCCGGTATCCTGCATGTCTTTGCTCCAACACTTCTGATTCAGTAGTTGATTCACCTGTTCTACAGCTCATCAGGCTCTGCAGAAGCCTGTTAATCACCTGCTGATTGAAATCAGGTGTGATGATGCAGGGTTGACACTAAAATATGCTGGATAGCGGCCCTCGATGGACCAGGGTTCCCCACCCCTGCTCGCGTGTCCTGGGTCTTCCCTTGGGTCTCCTCACAGATGGACGTGCCTGGAAAACCTCACCAGGGAGGCATTCAGGAGGCATCCTGACCTCAACTGGCTCCTCTTGACGTGGAGGAGCAGCGGGTCTACTCCGAGCCCCTCCCAGTTGACAGAGCTTCTCACCCTATCTCTAAGGGAGAGCCCAGCCACCCTGCGGAGACAACTAATTTCAGCTGCTTGTATCCATGATCTTGTTCTTTCGTCACTACCCAAAGCTCATGACCATAGTGAGGGTAGGAACGTAGATCAACTGGTAAATTGGGAGCTTCACCTTCTGGCTCAGCTCTCTTTTCACCACGACAGATCGGTACAACGCCCGCATCACTGCAGATGCAGCACCAATCCGCCTACTGATCTCACGCTCCATCTTTCCTTCACTTGTGAACAAGAGATACTTAAACTCCTCCACCTGAGGCAGGACCTTGTCCCTGACCTGGACAAGGCATTCTACCCTTTTCCGACTCCAGACCTTTTATAGGAATAGTTTTAATTAATGCTAGAGCTGTTATAAATAAAAATGAAGAGCTCTTGAGGTCATTTCAAATTTTTTTCAGCAATTTAATACACTTTTAAATGCTTTTATTTAAGCAATATTTATAATAAATTGTTTTTAGTTCAGCTAAAATCTCCAAAACCTTATTTTTGAGGATTCCATGAGGATGATGGATTTTATATCCTGTTTATTTTGACATCACACCTGTATCATCATTAGTTAGATCTCAGTAAATATTCTTCTATTTTTGCAGATTACTCTTGATCGGTAGAATACAACAAAAGAAAGTTCCCATGCCTAACACACGCTTCAGTGCAAAGGCATCATTTGCCATGTCTGACTAACACTTCAGAACAATTTTTATTGGCCAGTAACTTTAGTTTCCGTCATTAAATTGAGCCAAAATAACTCTCTTAGGAATCAAAGTTTCCAGTTTGTTTCCTCTGTCACTGAAACTCACCTCTAGTTACCAGCTGCTCTTCGATGTCGGCTGTGGATGGTGTTGGGCCTGCTGATGAGTGGTTGTAGGAGCTCATCGATCCCTCCGGAAGCACAGGGTCGTAGTCCTCACATCTGCCTTTAGACTGTGTGAAAACAAGAAGAATGTGACAAATATCACCTCTGTTCTGATGAATTGGTGCAATGTCTCACCTCCTCGGGGCAGTTGTAATCCAACCATTCATGTCTGTGCCGATCAATACCGTCAGAACATCTGAAACTCAGTGAGGATCAAATAAGACCAGAAAGACTAATTGCAGTTGTATAGGACAAGATGTCAAGTACAATGTTACCGTTGGAGAGTGTTGCACCAGCCGCAGCCACTTGTCAGGTTGGACGTCATGCAGAGATCACAGGAAGTGTGCTGAAGACAAGCTGTAGGAATCAGAGGCAAAAAGTAAAGCAGAGCCTTCAAGCATGAACCAGCTTGTAGAAACACTTACTGGGTAGAGGTGTAAACTCGAACGCAGACCCATTCACTATCCTTGTGATGTTGATCTCAACACGATGGTATTCATAGATGGTACGCCGCCGTGCATCTTCAAAACAAATGTACGCGTAAGTTTGCATGATTTGTTAGTATATGCTCTAGGCTTAGATTGCTGGAGGACATACTGACCACTTTCCACACTCTGCTACTTCTAATTTCTTCTACCACTTCTCAGATTGTAAAGTAATTGTATTATTTCCTGCTATTTCAGCTGTTAACTTTATTTTCTCTCTAAGTGTTTTCTCCTCAGAATAAATGATGTTCTGCTGAGCTGTGGTGCCCTGATGGAGGTGGCCATCGGCTTGAACACTGTTGCTAACCATTTAAACATTCTTCCTCTCCTGATAATAACATTTTACTTTCCTTGACATTGAATGTGCTACTACTAGTTTACACGTTTAATTACAGATTCACTAGGATAAATACAATAAAGTTTATCTCTCACGAAATAGAATATTATTATTGATGTTATTTGCTGGGTTCCTTATATAGGAAACTTTTTATTGATTGGCTTAATGAACTGAATTCTATCGGAATGTTTACTTTGTGAAGTGCCATGAGACGACTCTTGTCGTGGTTTGAAGCTCAATTTCCATCCATTCATCCATCCATCCATCCATCCATCCATCCATCCATCCATCCATCCATCCATCCATCCATCCATTTTCTTCCGCTTATTGAGAGTTGGGTCGTGGGGGCAACAGCCTAAGGCCACTAAGGCCAGCTCTTCCGGGGATATCCCAAGGCGTTCCCTGGCCAGGCGAGAGACATGGTCCCTTCAAGTTGACCTGGGTCTCTCTTTAGGTCTCCTCCCAGTCGGACGTGTCCAGAAAACCTCATCAGGGAGGCGTCCAGGAGGCAACCTAATCAGATGCCCGAGCCACCTCAATTGGCTCCTCTCGATGTGGAGGAGCAGCGGATCTACTCCAAGCCCCTACCGGATGACTGAGTTTCTCACCCTATCTCTAAGGGAGAGCTTAGCCACCCTGCAGTGAAAACTCATTTCGGCCGCAATATTAAAAAAACTGAATTGAGTTGAATTAGAGTGTTAATGCTAATATATGAAAGCATTTAATCTAATGTTTTGCATCATTCTCTGAGCGATAAAAAAAAAAAAAAAAAAAAAGTTACGTACTTTCTGATAAACTCAACTGGAGGCTGAAGACTAAAACAAGCTACATGTGTTGCCTGTAGATGGTTTTTGTAGTAAACTGAGTTAAGAGTATATAAGTATTTATAAATAAGTGTTTCACATACCAGATTTAACTCAACTCTCTTGAGAGAAATAATTGGATTTAAATCTACAATTCAATTGGATTGTGCAGTATTTTCAAACTGTTAACCGTAACAAACACTGAAATGTTTCTAGCTCTGTTTGCTAGAAAGATCATCTGCCAGACCGATTGTAACAACACTTTTAAAAGGCCTTCGTTGGATCAATGTACAACTTCAACTGGTAAATGTTTGGCATCATCTTGATTCAAGATGACCCTGCAGCCAGCTGACCTAAGCTAGTAAGTCAGTTTAATGAAGACATCCTGTAAACTTTGACAATTCTGACGGGAACATGAAGAGAATAGTTAGTTATCCCTAATTCTCTGGTGTGAAAGAGAGTGTCTTTATGTTGTTTTATGTTGCGTTTATGATCCCATTTGGTAAAATTGTTCCTGATTGGGTGTTTTTGTAGAAACAGTAAGCTTCTAAAAGCTTAGAAATCACTTTATAAACTGAGGAAAACACTTTTTTTCCCCCGAGAACTGACCTGGGAGCTGTGAAGCTGGGATTAATGCCATGAAAGCATCAGAGAGTCCAACTTTAACCGGATGGTCTGTAGAATTCATCTTCTCCACCAGCATGGGAACCTGAACAAGAACAGGTGAGTTTTAGCATTAATCAGATAGAAATACAAGCTGAGATTCATCTTCATGGCACGAATCGAGCCAATGTGATTTACTTTGGCAACATTCCGAACTTACATCCTTGTAGTTGAAAACAATAGTCCCATTGCTGTGGAGGACTAGCTGGAAAGTGAAAGCCCCTTCATCCTCTCGGTCCTTTAGTCGCACGTTGTCCCACTGCACCACGAACAGATTGCCTAGAGGACAGCAGGAGAGTAATGCCAACAGGTGGAGGCCAAACTGGATCTTCTCATCATCATAAAGAAATTTTACATACCATTGTCCATGTACCTGACTGTTGAGTTCTTGGAGAAGCTGGGGTCAAAGTTGGCCATGAGGGGAGCAATGTATTGTGTTGCAGTCAGCATTCGATGAGTGACCTCACCCATGAAGAGGAACCCTAAGAGATTTGAAGCAAAATCAGCGAGACATAATATTTGTTCTAGCTTCATACACCTTCTCATTTCTTCACATTTCATTTAAAAATTATATTACACAGATATCAAAGAAAGCAACTCACCTCCTGTTGCTACAATTACTTGTCTCAAGTTGTGTCCATAAAAAGGGAAATCAAAAGACAGCGCCACTCTCTGTAAAAATGAAAACTCATCATCAGACATGACTGAGTGTGAATGAAAGATTTCTGTTAGCTGTCATCTTACCGCTCCCTGTCGGTGCGCGTTGGACAGGAGGCCATGGATTCTCACTTGACTTTTGTGCATAAAGTTCAGCTCAACCCACAAGCTTTCAGTTTTTCTGTCTGCTGGACCAAAACTCTGCCATCTATAGTATTTCTGGGAGTCCTTCTAAGAAAGAGACAGACCACATTAGAAATGTTGAGAGTGTTTGTGCCAAAGAATAGAGAGTTATATCTTGAGTAAAATCTCATATATGTTCTCTGGCCTGAACTCATCTGCTTCTGTAAAAAAAACAAAACTAAAATCAAAGTTTCATGCACAACTTTTTAAAATTAGGATCCAAAAGCTAGTCTTGATTAAAGAGCAAGTCACCCCCAAGTCAACTCTTTTTTTCCTGATAAACTATATAAATGTGTGTCTAATCGTGCTGCAGACACGTGTAGTCAATAGTTTTGCACTTTAGTGCATTTTAGTTAAAATTTAATTTTCTGCCTAAAACTGCCAGTGTTGTGCCGTTGTCAGGTAAAAACTCTGCACTGCATTTGAATTTAAATCTGTCATTGCTATTGGCTAAGAGGTACCCTAGAACGTTAGCTGGTACCATATGATGTCACAATGTTGTTGTGAGCCTGTGTGTGTGTATTTGTTAGCGGCTCTGCCCTTTCGGTCTGCTAGGCAACAGCATTTGTTGCCTTTTTCAAACAGGAAGTGGGAGTGGAGTAAGACTCTGGTAGGGGGTGACTTGCTCTTTAATAATTCTAAGTTGTCTAAAAACCACCTGGCCATTCTAATGTGTTATCTTGGACAAACCATGTTTATACTTTTGTTTAAAAATAAAGTGTTTTGTTCCTTTTGAATTTCTATGGTAAGAAAATGAAAGTAGATTTAGTTTATTTCTCTGCAGCAAACAGAAATGATCATCAATGCAGAATAATATCTGCATCAACCCTTACTCCTAGAAGAGTTTCATTTTAAAGGTGTGGTTCACTCATTTAGTTATTACAATTGTAGTAGGAAGGAGTAGGAATGAATGCCTTGTTGGACGTACTCAAAAGGAGGGGTAAAAAACACTGGTGCACAATTTCCTCGAACTGTAATCCCAATCCCAATCTTAATTCTCGCATTACGGTCTTCTATAGTACACTTGAGGAAGTGCGCAGTAAGGGTTTGAGTGCGTAGTGCACAAATGTGCCGAATTGGGACAGGGAGCATCACGTCATCGACCACAACGCATGCTGGGATGCTGGTCACTTTTTGTGCTACTTTAAAAAAATCTTTATTAACAACTTTCAAACAAAGAAACAAGCAAACAAACAATTATTTGACAAAATTTGCAGTCATTGCTGTCGGCATTTAATCTTAATCAAAAACACTCAGAATGTGAATACATATCATTAGTCGCAGTGATGCAGACGCTGAACTGATCTGTCGTTGTGAAGAGGGAGCTGAGCCAGAAAGCCAGGCTCCCGATTTACCGGTCGATCTACGTCCCAGTCCTCACCTATGGTCATGAGCTTTGGGTAATGACCAAAAGAACGAGATTGCGGATACAAGCAGCCGAAATGAGTTTCCTCCGTAGGGTGGCCGGGCTCAGCCTTTGAGATAGGGTGAGGAGCTCGGACATTCGGGAGGGACTCGGAGTAGAACCGCTGCTCCTCCGGATCGAATGGAGTCAGTTGAGGTGATTTGGGCATCTGGTCAGGATGCCTCCTGGAAGCCTCCCTGGGGAGGTGTTTCGGGCATGTCCTGCTGGCAGGAGGCCCCCGGGTCGACCCAGGACACGTTGGAGAGGTTACATCTCCAATCTGGTCCGGGAACGCCTTGAGGTCCTGCTGGAGGAGCTGATGGAGGTGGCCGGGGAGAGGACGGTCTGGAGCTCCTTCGTTGGTATGCTGCCCCCGCGACCCGGACCCGGATAAGAGGAGTTCAAAAGGGACGTGGTAAACTTCTCCATTTGAGAATTGGGGCACCCTACGCACTCGCGCCGCTGGACGGGATCGTGCAATTGAAGGACTCTAAAAGCCGGCTCTATGAAGTGAACGGCGGGAGCCGCCTCGTCATTGGTTGGGTTTGGACCGAGCCAACGCGAGGGGGACGTTTCAACTACCAAGGTGGAGGTTAAAAGCAGAGGGTATTTGTAACCTCCCCCTCGCCAGATGGTATGTTCTAGTGTTCCCCTTGGGCGTCAAATACGAAAATTCACAGTCAGAATGCATGGGAAACAGATGCTTGATCACAGTGAGAGTAACGTTTTAAGTAGCAAGAGGGTTAAGGTTAGGATGAGGGCGAGGGGAAGGTTATAAATAGTGAAACGTTAAGGTTTAGGTGTGGTTAAATGAGCTGGTTCGGTGCCGCATCAGCGGATACCCCATCACGTCAGTTTTACGCTGCATTGGGATCTGCAGTTAGAAAAGGGAAAAAACCCTTTTCACACATAAGTAATGAAAAAGGGCAGTTTTGGCGTTAGGGGTCTGAGGCGGAGGGTGGCTGATCAAGCGTTTGTTTTTTGACACGCTGGGAGTGAGAATGTGTTGGATTGTAGGCCAGTTTCAAATTCCCCCTTTTTTCTGCTAAGTGTGAAAGAAACCGTTGAGTGAAAATGTTACTGTTCTTCTCCATGTGAATCTAAACAAAGTTAATCTCAGGATATAACATGTGGATTTCTGCTACAAAAGCTTTGATTGTCTGCGTTGTTGGTATGTTCAAAGAAAAAGGAAATAAATTTAAAAAAGGAGGGAAAGAGTCTTTCTCACAGATTTATTCTCCCTCGTTGAGCCCATACATCCACTTGAGGGAGCTATTAACACATGTTCCATGGTGTCACACAGCCTGTGTCTTCCTACTTATGTCCAGTTTTGACGGCATTATTAATGTATGGTATGCTCCAAGGTGACAGAGAGCAATGGTTATGGGGTTTGGTGTTGGCTGAGAAAGTATAGCAGTTAAATGCAGAACTCACACAACCTCTCCGGCTGCTCCACATACAGCCGATGACCCACTTTCTCCTCCATCTTCAATGCCTGACACCAGCCTATTTTTCTCAAGGGGGGATTTCTAGTTGAGGAGACTTACAAACTTTTTTATTTTTTCAGCTGACTGATTTTTGTTTTATTGTTTTGTTTTCTTTAAAACGCTTACAGCAGAAGTACGGCAGGACTTTGTGTGATCTGGTCCAAGTGAATCATTCATGAGCGTACATGTGCACGCACACACACACACTCGCGGACAAAGAAACATTGTTAGCTGGCAGGTTCAGCACTTTGTCTGTTTTCTATTTGAGATCCAGGGAGAGGGGAACGGAATGAGCAACACGGTTTATTTGGATTGAATTTTACTGAGGCTGATTTAAGTGAAAACTGTGTGTGGGGCCCAAACAAAACGCAATGAGACAAACACTGATTGAATGAGCTAAAAATGGCACTGGACACTAACTGTCTGCCTCAAACTGTCTGACTGAAAATGCAATCTTCAAAATAAAAACAAACTTTGCAGTTAAGCATCAATGCAATGAATTTATTTAGTAAAAAAGTATAAAGCTGTTATATTTACTTTATTACTTTACAACAAATAAAATTATTCAAGTTAGAAGAGTTCTTCCATTGCAAACAGCAATAGAGATGATGAGTTCCAGTTCTCTTGTTTATGGTTTTTCTTCCAGTAGATTCAAGATTTTTTAAGTGAGTGTTTTGAATTTGTGCGATGAACTTTCAGGGGCTTTCCCAGAGGTTTTCAAAAAAAAAAAAATAAAACCTCAAAAGGGATTTACCTTTGGCTTTTCTCCAGTAAAGAATAAAGTGTTCCGATGTGTTACAGAGGTGTGTTTGACCTTTTTTAAATGTGAGAATAACAACTTTGCTATGAAACAAGACAATGTTGGTTTAGGCATCACATTGTGTGACTTAGAGGATGACATGCTGTGGAGTCCACCCCAAAAGATTTTCAAAGACAAGCAACATTTCTTCAGACAAACATGTTGGTATTGTTGCTTTTTAAATTTGAGCCAAATTAAGTTTATGAGTTAAAGCTGCATGTTTAACAATAAAACCGTATTCACAATTATTTTGGACAATGCTGAAATTACAGCAATTTACTGTCATTGCTGTGTGAGTTGAAGAACACTCTGCACATATTTCTCTTCTTCAGCCAAAAACCCATTGGGAAAGATGAGGTGTGATTCATCAAAATTACAATTGAAAGCAGCTCTGCACAACACTTAAAATGGGGAAACGCTGTTACAGAGGCTCGGATGGTAAAGAAGGAAGCAAGTGCGCCTTAAAAAACGTTTTTCTTCGTGTCATCATTTGATTTAGTCTGATTTACATTGTGCCTCATGTGCAGCTGCTCAATGCAATCATACTCGTGCCTCACCTGTGAGTCACAGCATATCAGCTCTCCTCAGTCTCTCCCAGTGCCAGACTGTCTGCAGCCAGAACCACAGCATTCCAGTGCTCCACAGTTTGTGTTTTTGACCAAATCTGTGTCCCTTTGACCGTGTGTCTTTGCATTACTGTTGTGGGACTGTATTTGTGCTTCCACCTCATAGTTTTTGATCACAAGCCTGCTTGGACATTGTCTCTCGTACACATGCATGTTATTGAGTTCCAGTCCTGGAGGGCCGGTATCCAACACATTTTAATTTTAACTCCATTTCAACACACCTGATTTCACTCAGCAGGTGATTAACAGGCTTCTGCAGAGCCTGAAGAGCTGCTGCACGGGTTTAACCACTGAATCTAGTGTGTTGGAGCAGAAAAACAATTAAAACATGCTGGATACTGGCACTCCAGGCCCGGAATTGAATTACCCTGTGTTACATGATCAATCTGGTTCTCTTGCTTTTTTTAAAAAATTCTCTTTAATGGATTTGGTTCTTGTAAGTAAATATTTTACATTGTTTACAAGTAAAACTTTGACTGCAAATGTGAGCAAGTCTATAGCTTCTCAAGACAGCAGGGTTTGTTATAATCCCCCACAGCAGTGGTTCTCAATTCTGGTCCTGGAGGGCGGAGGGCAGGTGTTCAGCATTTTTTAGTTTTAACCCTGCTTCAACACACCTGATTTAAATTAACAGGCTTTTGCAGAGCTTGATGAGCTACTGAACAGGTTAATCAAGTGTGCTGGGTTAGGGAAACAACTAAAATAGGCTAGACACCGACCCTCCAGGACCAGGATTGAGAAACATGCCCTACAGGATTAAAAACTGCCGGTTTATGATAAATATCCAAACGGATAAAGTCTTAATGAATCCTCCTCCATGTTTACTTTGCGCAGGTGTCATGTGCTCCCCATAAATAGTCCAGGTGCTTCACCTCCAAACTTGTTAGTTCTGCCAGGTACACTCTACAACGTTTTTGTTAATTGCAGTTAATAAAATAAGTTTTACAACATTACACCATGAAAACATTTTAAAATTGATTTAGAATAGTGTTTGTCTCCCTGCTGCTACAGCACCATTTAGAATCTGCTCAGCTTGTTTCAGCAGCTACTCGTCAAATTTAGACTCATAGTTTATTGTAAAATGTGTCATTTGTTTGCATCTCACCACTATGTAGGTCACGTTGTCTGGTAAGGTACTGATATCCAGTACCTTACCTCCTCCTGTCTGTGCTGTTTCTCTGTGGTTCTGCTGGTCCCTCCTGGTTCTGTGAAACCTGGATCCATCTCCATCTGTCCTCAGAGCTGTCCAGCTCAGCACACCTGGAACAAAACACAAGTTACGGTAAGTGAACTGAGTCAACACACATTGATTCGTATTCACTTTACATTTTGTGGTCACATCTGCTTTTTATTAGGTACTATAACGTGGCTCATTTATAGGCCAACATATCCACAGCAAATTAAATCCACATTTAGAGGTCATGTAGCAAATATTCTAACAAAGGTTCAGGAAAGTGACAGAGTGGGTTTTCCTTACATCTGTAAAACAAAACTTGTCATGATTCCTCTTTAATGTCTTCATTTTAAAAAGACAAACGTGTGTGTGTTTGGGGTGGGCTTCCAGTATTTAAAAGGCTTGATTTAAGCCTTGTGAGTAGAGTGGTGTGTGTCTTGGTGTAACATTATATTTAAAAGCATATTTAAAATAGGTATGTGCATTATCAGCAATAGACTTTCTGATGACCTCGACCAGTCGTGTGCTTTTGAAAACATCTGCTCAACAGATTGTAGCTGGGTGTTTATACCTTTTCAATCCATCTGCGACTCACTGTTTTTGGAAAATGGTTGCAGAATCAGCAGAACACGCTGATTGTTCAGCAGAGTGAATATCTCTGCTGTTGTCTTTCTGAAGTCCAGTTGGTTGTTTCTTGTGAGCTACCTTTGAAGATGATAAATCCAGAGTTCCTTCCCTATCTATACTGTGGGTCATGTCCCTTTTTCTTTGAGGGGTTTGTCTGGGCCTTTCTCATTGGTTTGATGTGGTTATATTTGTTTGTTCCAGTTAAAACATCAAACCTACATCCTTCAGTGATTATAAAGGAAAACAGTGAGTCTTTGGTTTTGCAGCTGTGCTTTGTCCTTTCCAATACAGCAGTACTTATTCATACAAAGCCACAAAGCAGAGTAAAGGGTTTTGTTTGTCCTGGAAGAACTTTAACAACTCGGACACCCCTGACTGAGAGCCAAAACTTTGCACCCAAAGTAACACTGATGGAGTGGCGCTACTAATAGGCTAACAGTGCAATGCGCTCTCTCAGATGCCTGCTTGTAAGATTTTACTGCAAAACTTCAAACCACAGAAGTGGAAGCACTTATCCTAAAATGTTAATGGCCATAATCTATGATCCATGACCTGTTGTTCTGCTTGATGGAACAAAAGAAAGGCTATATGAGGCCTTTTTAATTTATTTAATATTCAATTAAAAAACTCATTTGTAAAAAAAAAAAAAAAAAAAAAGTACAATAAAATAATAACATCATCACCATATGGGTAACAATACCATCACTGATGGGACAATGTGTAGTTTTAACTATTAAACTTTGGAAATATCCATCAAAATGTTGTTGAAAATTTATAAAATGATGTCCAGTTGTTGGAAAATATTGGCGGCTTTAACATATAATCATAAAAATCAGGTCTAAAATACATGGGAGCAGATCTAAGGGTGTTTCTCAAAGCCAAGGCACCTGGACTCACTAGGCGATGTCTTGTGAGGCCCGGTGGCTTGCATACAAGCCCAAGTCAAAGAAAACGGTTAAATGGAACGGACTTGCATTACATCACCGCGGCTTCCGTGGCGGTCAAGTAACGTCACATGATACAGGAGGTAATGTTAGATTTTATACGTATAAGTTTCAATATGAATACATAACGAGACTTTTACTTTTTATATTGTGTATATATTGGTTAAATTAAATATGTAGGCAAATCAATTTCCCTCTGGGATTAATAAAGTATTTTTGAATTGAATTTGAATTGAATTAAATTGAAATTGCTACCTGCTAGCCACCGAAGCTGCAAATACTAAGCAACTAACCAACAATAGATAAATGCTTTGGATAAAAAAATAAAATAAAATAAAATAAAACATTTTAGCAATAAGCCTTATAGCTACAATTACTTGAAAATTTCCCCCGAAAGTAGCTGTCGGCTTCTGATCCGCCATCCTTTTGAAGATACAGCACTGCATTCTGGGAAATTTTTGACTAAAGTCAGGCCACAAGGCACTTCCTGTGTATCCTTGCTCAGCTAGCTAAACGGCTAACAAACAGACGCCTCGGTAGACCATGGACATTGGAACATGCCTTGGAGTTTGTCTTCTAGGCAACCAAAGGGCGGGACCAAGACATCAAGGCGAGGTTCCTTGGCATTAAGAAACACCCTAAGTCTCTGGGCGACCCCATATTAGATGCCATGTTTCCTTCTACCGGAGCCCGTGAGGACAAAATGCATTTACAGATTTGTAACAAGTGGTTACAAAACGTTTGCCATTCATGAACATTGTTGTTTTACACATTTACCTCTTCACTCATTGCCAGTGATGAAAAGGAGTCTGATGTCATTTTGCTGAAGGTTGTGCTCCCAGTGATTTTTGACCCTAATGACCATCCGTTGGTAAGGTCTTCCTTGAACACAAAAATACTGCTTGCGTGCAATAATTTAGGTATGTATTGCCCCCTATCAGCAGGGAAAATCAAGCCCCCACAATGCGGCTCAAAAATTGAGGCCAACCCGGAAGTACCAAAAATTGCAGTTCCACACTCATCCGCTGGGGGCTGGTGTCAGAAGCGAGCAAATCCTCATTGACTGACATGTTAAAAATACCAAATTCACAGCAGAAATAAACATGTGTACAGCCTGGTACCAAAACATGTTCTTGGTTTAAATTATCTAGTTTACACTCATAACAAATCTGAGGTGGGTGAATTTTTTTCTCACTCTTCTGTTTAAGTGTATTAAAAGCCTAAAATTCTGTATAATTAATGAGCATCAGACCCACGTGACCGCCGCCTCAGACCCACATGAACAGAGCTCGCTCTGTGGAAAGGCCTCAGTAGAGCCTCGGTCTGGCTTGGAAACTGTTCCAGGATTTTGAGTCTCTGTGTTTGTGTATTCTTTTTTTGGATATTTTTTGTGCAATTGTTGGACAAAATGACTTGCTGTGCCATTAATTGCACTAATAGAGCATCCAAGGAGTCTCCACTTCATTTTTTCGGTAAGTAAAATTATATTTATGTATTTTAGGTCACTGCCGAGCTGAGCTTAGATTTTAACATGTACTGTTTAACCATGAAATTTAATGTAATAGGGTAAAACCCAGTGCATTTAACATAATGCTGCACTTTAGAAAATGGGTTGAAATATAAGATGTTGGTGGAGCTGGGTTCCGACTATCGGCTCGTGGAGCTCTCGGGAGACCTCTGTTTTCCACCCCTTTCTCCCCTCCCCGCAGCCCGGCGCATCTCTGTCTGATCGCGGCTTCTGTCTGCTGTGTGGGCTGCCGGCTGGCTCTCCCCGCAGCTCGGCGCATCTCTGTCTGATTGCGGCTTCTGTCTGCTGCGCGGGCTGCCGGCTGGCTCTCCCCGCAGCTCGGCGCATCTCTGTTTGATCATGGCTTCTGTCTGCTGCGCGGGCTGCCGGCTGGCTGTCCCCGCAGCTCGGCGCATCTCTGTCTGATTGCGGCTTCTGTCTGCTGCGCGGGCTGCCGGCTGGCTCTCCCCGCAGCTCGGCGCATCTCTGTTTGATCATGGCTTCTGTCTGCTGCGCGGGCTGCCGGCTGGCTGTCCCCGCAGCTCGGCGCATCTCTGTCTGATTGCGGCTTCTGTCTGCTGCGCGGGCTGCTGGCTTGTGGAGCTCTGGGATGGAAACCTTTCCACCCGGTTCTCCCCAGCAGCAGCTCCGCGCATCTCAGATTGCAGCGGCGCTTGTCTACTGTGCGGCTGCCGGCTTGTGGAGCTCTCGGAGACCTCTGTGTTCCACCCGGTTTTACCCAGCGGTCAGCCCGGCGTATCTCTGACTCAGAAGCTCTGGTGTTGTGCACAGTTAACTCCGGTTGTAGCTAGGTTGCTACCTCCGGTAGCTTAGCTCCCACCTCAGCGTTAGCTTTGGGTTAGCTTCAGGTTAGCTTGTAGCTAGTTCGACCGGTTGTCGTCAGTTGATCTCCGCCTTACAGCCCCACCCTCAGCTCCACCTCTCTTCCCTTTTGTGGAATTGTCTGGGCTTGACGGAACCTGTGACACGGTCAAAATGGTGGCCACCTCCCATTTAGCCTCAAAAACGTGTTATTGGAGCCTATGGAAATGAACTGTCCAGTATATATGTTGATGGGGAAAATGCACAGCATCACTTTAATGAAAAAATAAAGAAGAAACATTTTTTCTGAATAATAAAACTTTGCGGCACACAGTCAATAACGATGTTGGTACAAATATTGTTCCAAACATTGGGGATGTCGATTATTTAATGTTAATGCCTCATTTCAATAAATGTAACTGGGGAAACTCTAGTTTGTCTTTATTCATTGTTAACAAAAGATTTTACATTGTTTCACATCTTTGCTTGTTTTCATTGACCAAACAGAGAAGTTGTTTGCTTTCCAACAGCCTTGTTTGTAGGTCAGGTGAGCAAACAGCATCTGTCTTGTGGATTTAGCTGTACTTTCCATGTTAAATGTTAGTTTGGCTCTTCAGCCATCTCTTCTTCCACAGGTAAAAACTGAAATTTCACCTTCCAACCTCAAAACCTTATAATGACAACAGCTTTCATGGTATGTGTTTAATCTTGAGAGGCTTTGTGAGATTTTCAATCTCACTGGGAAAAGTTGGAGTGTGAACTCGGTTCATGTGAAAAGTGTAGTATTTTCTAGCTGCATATCTCATAGAAGGACCAACACTGTTATGGGTGATTTGTTTTATTTTATCCCCATATAAGGTGTCTCTCACGTGTTAAACATAGTAGGACATTTTTAAAATCCTGCCTTGAGGTGGTGCTAGCATCACCTCAAAACTAGTTTCAACCTTCAAAGAACTCAACTTAGTTTCAACATAAAGAGCCAAATTTCATTCAGATGTGAAAAATGCTGTAAATGAAGAATGCTATCATAAATGGAAGTGCTGATCAATTCTTTTCATCAATCAACAAAATCATTGAATGAACAAAAATGAAGTCTAAATGAAATCAATATCTGGTGTGACCACCCTCTGCCTCCACAACAGCATCAGTTCTTCTAGCTACACTTGAACACAGTTGCTGAAGGAAC